AAGGCTTCTGTTGTATTACACACACACACACACACACACACACACTCTGTCTGTCAGCACCACTGAGCCCTACAGACACAGGTGACACGTGTGACGAGTGTGAATGCAGCAGGGTGAGGAAAGAGTGTGTCAGTGGGGCTGGGAAAGGGCAACGAAAAGACGAGAATCTGATGAGACTTGTTGGTGTACCTGCTCTTCAACACAACTTTCTGTAGAATTAATGCCTCACCTGCTGCAGTGCGTAGGGGGAGCCTGGTTGTCAAGCTCAGCACCACGCAGCACAACAGCTACCTCCTGCGTCTCTCGAAAATGAGCCAACTTTTTACTGCGCACAATGCAGCCTTTATATAAGGCCCCTATAATGGAGCCAGCTCCTTCAATCATGTCCTCATTGTCTTGGCTGGGATGAGAAAAGGCTGCTCTTTAGAAATTCTAGGCTGAGCTCACCCGTGAATCATGCCAACAGTCACGCTTGTTCTCTGTGTGTGAGGGCAGAGGAGCAGACCTTTTTCTAGGACCCTCGTTCTCCCGAAGGCAGTGACGTTCGCTGGTTTACTGAACCCTGTAGGGGGTCACACAGAGGTTGCGACCTTGCTCTTCCTGTTTCTGTTTCTGTGGGTGGCCCAGACAGCAGGCACCCTGTGGCAGCGATGGTGGCCGTGGTGTGATTGGTTCTTGTAGCAGAAGTGGGACAAAAGCGCAGACCTCAGCAGTGGTGGTGGCTCGTGGAGTTTGGCATTACAGAGCGGCCGTGGGGGGTGGTTGTTCCTCACAGTGGGACCTCTTACCCTTTAAGGAGCCCGCAGTTCACCATCAGCGCAGTCGCTGTTTGCTCACAGACAGAATCCATACGGAGCATATGTTTACTGTCACCACTGCAGCATCCATAGTGCTCCTCCTCTCCGCTGCCCCCCCCCCCGTTACCTCCTGTACTGCCAGATACAGCTGGAGATGTCGGTTTGTCTCTGAGGGGAGAGTCGTATTATGGTGGGTATTGATGGCTGGTTTAAGGGGGATAAAAATGCAGACAGTCGGGAGTGGAGGGGGGGGGGGGTTTGGGGTTGCTATATGGTGGGAGACGGAAAATCAGCATGCATTCAGTCTCCTGCCGTGCTCTGCATTTCCAACAACATGGAAAAAGCAATGGGGTTGCCATGGGAACAAATCCAGAATCAGCGCAGTACTCGGACCCCTCTGCTGTAACCCCCCAACACACCCCCATCTCCCCCCTGTTTCCCCTCCTCCCCCCGGTATCCCCTCCTCCTCCCTGGCCCCCTCCCAGATCTGGAGCTCAGACCTCAGACCGGCCTACTTATGGGAGCAGGGATAAGGCTCGGGACAGGGATCATGTCCAAAGCTTACCACTGGATCCCAGAGCAGGAACGACAGCCAGCGGATATGGGTGCACACTAAAAGAACACCCCCCCCCCCCCCCCCCCCCCCCCCCCCCATCCCCCATCCCCCATCCTCCTCCTCTAAACTGCTGCCATTAATTCTCCATTAAAACTCCCAGAAAGTGATTTGTATCCGGTCTGCCGGATAGTAGGTCATATCCCGGTGATTTATGAGATGTTAATGTGCCCCCTCATATCCCCACCATATACATTTATAATTCAAGAGGGTATTCTGGATATTGCCATGGAAACTAAAGAGAGATTTACTGCAAAAACCAACAGTGAATGTCCTGTACATTTTGAAAAAATCTGGAGCCAGATAATCCTGATTTATTTGTGCTTCCCAAAGTTTGGAAACACATTTTAGTGAATTTGTATCAGAGCTACAACGAATGACTGTGTCCTTTATTTGTTTAATTATTCCATTAAACCTACGCCCTAGTCCTTTCTAAGAGACTTAGGTGAATTCAAAATGTTGTCCAAGTAACAGTCCAAACATTTTTGACACTTGATTAAATGACTGGAACATGACTTGATCAGAATAGTAGCTGATTTATTTAGTGTCGACTAATACGTTAAAATCAAGTGGGTTGCTTGCTTTGGAAAGAAAAGCAGGAAACAGCTTTTTGCAAACTCATAACTCTGAGCTCTGACAAACTTGTCTCTGTCAGAGCTCCCTTCCACAGTTGTGATTTTAAAGGTTTCCATTATTGTAAAGACTAGGGCGGCATTGCAAAATATATTACGATGATACATGATGAGCTGGTATTAGGAAATATATTTTGTCCACAATGAAATTGCTGCCAATAAATTATCAGCAGATAAAATAAAGCCACATTGCCTTCATAGACTTAATAAGCATGGCATCTAAACTCTAGAGTAGAGAAAACCACACAGGGTCACCTGACAACACGATTGAAATGTGCACGAGATGTTAATAATCTTCTCAACTTAATTTTTTATTTTTTATAAGTGAGCAAATCTGTTATTTTCTTTGTTATTGTTGTTGGTCGTAGCCAGTTCAGAGCAATGGAGCATAACATTAGCCATCTTTGTTCATTACATCTTAACCCTCAAGTGTTTAAAATACAAAAGGTGGAATAATCAGTCAAGTTATGGGTTGAAAAAAAACCAGATTACGTTGACTTTTCTTATGCTGCGCACATGTTGCAGGCTGTGTGAAACACTGCAGCAGGAGTGTGGGTAGGAAACCCAGCGAGCTGTTCTTGAGACGACAGACTGCTCCTCACGCTGCAGCTGATGTGTCATGAGGCGACTGATGTGAAGCTGCTCTGACAGTCCGCTTCACGTTCTGCCTCGTCGCAGCTTCTGGGATAATTACATTGATTCTTTCTTGACTTAGAGCACAAAAGGGCAGTATGTAGAAACGAACACAAGACGATTTCTCCATCTCTTCCCCTGTGACTCTTTTTGCCACATTAATCTTTGATGTTGTCACAAATTGTTGGCAGAATCAAGCCAGAAATGTCACATACATGGTACTCCGCCAAGACCACTCACCCAACAAGATGCCCCTGGATGCATTTCAATGTCATGTTACATGATTGTTGGGTGTTCAAGTCGGACTGCTATCTGAAGCTGTGAATTTCTGAGGTTTTAGTTTAAGTTCTCATGATCGAAGTTATAATATTTTGCTTTGCACTGTCCCAGTTTGCTTTGGCCTTATGCCACGCGGCTGCTATCTGCTGTGTGAAGGAATGGGGGCAGACTTTTGGACAATTAAAACTCTGTTTGCAAACGTTTGCTCTAAACGTAGAGTTTCTGGGGTGTGAAATAGTCCGTGCCTCTGTCGAATCCTTTTAACAAACAGATGTATAACGTCTGTTTATGTCAAATTTTAAATTTGGTTTGGTGGCCGATTTTGTCATGTTTTCGGACTTTTCCACCAATCTTCAGGTCAAATCTGAGTTGCCTGTTTGGGCTGATGCTTCTCCCATTCCCACTGCAACAATCAACAAAACACTTTTAACCATTTAAGTTGGTTTTGAAGCAAAAATCTTTCTTTTCGAGCTTTTCAAAAGTGAGGACTTGCTTTTCTCCATTTTAATATTTTGTAATGTGTTTGGGTTGTGAGCTATTCATTGCCATGACCCTGGGCTCTGGGAACTAGTTTGCTATTTTGTGAAATGTGTTATTGTAAGAAAGAAACCAACAGATACAGTAATGTTGCTAGTAGCCTTGATGGTAAAATGTCTTGCTCTTATCCTGTTTTGTTGGGTTTTTGTAGCTTTTGTGACACAAATAGATCCCTACCCACTGCAATTCCAATGGAAGTGATGAGGAACAGTACTCTCTCTTTGCAAAAATACATTCTTACGTTAAGCTGAAGATTATATGAGGATTTCACTTTCTTAGTTTCAAACATTAAATAGGTATTTGACTTTTTAGTTTGAGATGAGTTATGCAACAAAATGTGCGGAGAAGCACAAAGAGGGCATTTCTTTCCATAAAGGCTGTGACTTTGGAAGTGAAAGTTCGCAACTTGATTTGTCATATCCCTAGTTGAACTTTGAATGCACAAAAAGTGCAGAGGACGGTGGATTTTATCCTCCATCACTGGTATTTACATCATACATCTTTTTGTAGCCAGTAAGGACAGAAAGAAAAACGACAGCGACCAAAAACCATTGCATAGCCATGGAAGAATTATTTTAAAATGATTAACTTCCCTTTTACCTGATGAGTCAAGCATTTAAGGGCAGTCTTTAATTTCAAGCCGTACCCTGTTCCGGTATATGTTCTCATTATTTGTTGTTGCGTCTCTGGACAGAATTCAGGTTATTACAGAGATTTGGAAAACAAAAGGCTGTCAGTAGGGAAATGCCCTGAGGAGCGACAGTACTCATGTGTTGTCATGTCTGCCTTTACTCATCATCGTCTCAGACTGACACATGTCCAGATCTGCAGGAGTAGAGGAGTCATGATCTCTCTGTATCGAGGTTACAGGGAGAGGCTGCTTGTAATCTGCCAAACATTCACATATATGTTGATGTCTTGATTTGACATACTTTTGATGACGAATTCTCCCTCACACACACTGTCTGAGGCTCTCATCAGAGGTTACTCATGTACACAGTGAATGCGGCTGGAATGTGTAATGTGGACTCAATGCGGCCCGAGCTCGTCCTGCTCCATTCAGCAGCAAATCCCCCGGGTTTAGGATTTGCTTTTACAGTCCGCTGTGCCAAAGACCGTACTCACCCGTAAGAATCTCTCACCAGCTTGTCATGTTTTCACAGAGGCAGGAATGTAAAGCAATGTGCCCGAATGAGCTGAGTCATAATTAGTGTCAGAGTGCGAAGATGTTTGTGGCATTGTTCGTCCCCGTCAGATTCCCGGTGATCTCACAACGTCTTTGATTTCACTTTGGCTCTGGGGTTGTGAAACATCGCTGTAGGCGGATGAGGTGTATACTTTTGAATTAAAGGCAAGATACATTACAGTCATCGAAATGTCAAGGCCTGCAACACTACAGATAATGGTGGTACTGTTCCGTAACTAAAACAAGCTGTATCTGTTCTTGTTGTGTCTTACATCGGTTACAATCACAACTCACGTCTGTCTTGTTTTATGTGTCGTCCCCAGGCCTCCCCTTCCTGAGAGCTCAATGGAGAAAATGAAGCGGTTCAAGCGGCGTCTCTCCCAGTCGTTACGAGGCAGCCACACCATCGACGAGTCGCTGTCCGAGCTGGCAGAGCAGATGACCATCGAGGAGAACGGACTGAAAGACAGCGGTGAGTTTTAGAAGCAATTTGTAAACGTTTCTGTGTATGAGAAACAGTACTAGGTTTCATTGCCCATGAAATTGTTTCATAACAGTTTTCATCAAGCTCTTGAACACTAGTACGCACTGATCTCCAGGAGAATTCAAAGGTTGTAGGGGTCTTTTTGTTATTAAACTTTCATCAATTTGGCAAATGCCTCTAAATAATACGACACCCACAAGCCAAAGTTTTACAATTTGAGGCAAAACTCTGCATCATAAGTCCTTTTAAACATGGCATCTGTGCCTTCATTAAGCTGTTAAAGTAATTTTTTGGCCGTCATATAGGGTTTAATGACATGGAATGAAAACATTCACTTCAAACCATACATGTCAACCTTAAGGTGGTATTAAAGGAGAATAAAGGATAATCTATGCTTCGCCTCGCTGTGATACTCCAATTTAAGTATTTAAATGTTAAAATTTAAGCTGAATGATTGGATATTTCTGACTGAAATGCACCTTCATGGTTTACTTCAGTCCTTGACCTATGTGTGCCCGAAGACTATATCTAGTGTAGAGGATTATTAATGGGTAATCTGCAAAGCTCACATGATGTTTGGCTGCTGGTGCTACTGGAGAATGACTTGATGTGGTTAGAAGATGAGAAGAAACCAGTAATGGATTTTTTTTGTAGTTTTATTACTATTTGTCTCCATTAAGTGAAGAAGGGACACTGTATTCTAACAATTACCATTAGCAACGTAGGTGTCACATTATTGTATTTTTACCCCTTTTATCCAAGTCCAAACTGTCTCCAATACTGACTGAGAATGTGAGAGTGGACTAAGCTTACCTGCTGAATATGTTTCAGGTTACTACAAAGTCTAATCTATGCTAAGGTTCACTGTTAGGCGATACACTAGTAGAATTTAAAAGCTCAATGACTCGACATTTCTTAATAACAAGCACCTTGGAGTTTATGGCTTACCTTTGTCAATCACCCAATTCTGCCCAAAGACTATTTAGTAAAGGGAAACTATTATTTTATTCTGATTGGTCTCCCTTTCCTGTAGTGTGTTATAAAGGGTTTTATGCATGCAAAGTCTAAAATCCCAAAGTTCCCTCCTGAGGGAGTTTCTCTCCCACACACTCCCCCATCTGCCTGAAAAGCGTCTATTAGAGTCCTTTTAGTTGTGTAACATAGTGACATCATTCAACTCTTGCATTTCTATTTGCTAGTGCTCTAACATATTGTATGTGATTAAGGGGCGGGACATCTCAGATACCCCTTTCACACCAACGCGGTTCCAGGGCCGGTTCGGAGCTGGAGCTTGAAAAGCACCGGTTTTTCCTGTTCACACCGCAGCGGAGCCGCCTCTAAGCTCTGGAATCCGGTTCGTTTCAAGCACCAAAAAGTTGTCTGTCTAGAAAGCAAGCACCGCATACGTCACGCTTACGTCGGAAGATCTGGGCTGTGTCCAAATAACATGCAACATCCGCCTTTCCGCCAGCTTCAACATGATCTGTGGAAATAACATTGAGAATCAGTTTTAATGTTATACCATAGTAATTAATGCTGCAAAGCTGGGTATTTTGAGCTTGGCGCATGCAGAGGCTAACAACAGCTAGCTCTAACGCCATCGAATAGGACGTATATTTACCTTCTTTCTCCTACCGAATCGTCGTTGAAGTTGATGATAATGATTGTAAAGAAGTCTTGAACGTAGCATGTAAAGTTGGTAGTAAAGTCGTCCCATTTGTTCCATTTCGTTTCGACAGAGCAAAACCAAAACGAGTAGCGCTTCAATACAATCTGCCATTGTTGTTGTTGTCGATGTGAGGGGTTTCCGCGCGGTTTGGCTTTATGAAGCAGGCACGCAAACGGTTACGTCATGACGCAAACGATGGCGCAATGACGCAGCACCAGTCGGGCTCTGAGCGGTGTGAACAGAGCGGGAGCTGAACCGAAGAACCGGTTCTGAACCAGAAAAGCTCTAGCACGGAGCTAGAACGGGAAAAGCCTTGGTGTGAAAGGGGTATTAGTGGTTGGGGTGACAGGGCTCTGATTTCAGACACAGGGTGAAAAGAGGTGGTGCAGCACAGGCAGTATCAGAAAAATAAAGACCTTTTTGAATATTAAAGTATGTAAACATGTCACCGTAGAGGGACTAAATACAAATATAAACCTGAAAAGTAGGGCCTCTTTAAAGTTAGTAACTGCCAGTCACTTAACTATGACCTTTTAGAAAGTTGATGCGACATTTACAGATATAACTTTGTTTTCGGACTCAACTCTTTATTTATGCTCCTGTAGACACACTCTGTTTCTCAGCCGCAGATGTTGACGTTGGTTACATCGTTAATCTTGATCCCTCTGAAGGTTGTGGCCTCCGAGGTGTTAAAATCAGAGCGGAGTGGCGCAGCAGTAGCTTATCTCTGCTGATATTCACAAACCTGCCGCAGTGAGGGGAGGGAGCGCAACTCCGAGCTCTACCACGTTGTTGCCATGGCTCCCAGGATCTGGAAACATTCTAGAGTTTCCATGACATTGCCACGGCAACTTGGATGACTTGGTGAAACCAGCCAGGCATCTTGATGCATTTTTCCGCTTGTTTTTCCTCCTTTTTTTTCATCTTTCAGCTCTTCTTCCTCTCCTTTGACCACCCAGAGTCCCCAACATCCCCCCAAAAGCTTCTTTCAGGCCTGTCCTCAGTTTTCCTCTCTTGTCTTTTGTCCAAGTGAGAAGTTTTTTTTCCCCTTCTTCAATCCATCAGATCGTCCAAGTCCTCCCTCTCCTCCCCACAATCCCTCTGAGAACTAACTGGGCTTTTCTAAAGAGCTTTTTGTGTAGTGATTAACACCACGTTTGGCCAGAGTGTTCTGTGCTTGGTGCCCGGGGAAACAGAATCCTGTTGTGTTTGTGTGTGTGTATATATATATATATATATGTGTGTTTGTGTGTGAGAGAGAGGGGATTTTAGAAGCCTGTGAAACAGTAAGTAGGGGAGAGAGGAGACAGAACGAGTGGCCAGATGAGATGTGATCTGAACTCTGGGATTGGGGAAAGCGTTTTGGTCCTGATCTGATTATGTAACGCGTATATAACTCAGGCCTGCAGCAGCAGAAGCAGCTGCACAGAGATAAGGGAGAGGTGGCATAAGGGACTGGATGTTACATGGAGGCTGTGTATTGGTCTGTTTTTACAGGAAATCTAGGAAATGCCTCATTGCTGTAGAAAGGATGTGTGCAACAAAAAACAACACATTGATGAAATGGCTTGTGATATATAGGACACGCCAAATGTGCCAAACTTTTGACATCTGCTCTTACAAAACTGTTACGTAGTGAAATCTGTTTTAAAAGCTTAACAAGACTCACACTCCCACAGCTCTCTGAATCAGCTTGAAAGGGCAGCCTGGACCTTGTGAGCTTAATTTTTGTCAATATGATTTAAATCTAAAAGATGTACTGAGAGTTGTTGACCCTGAAAACTAGCAGCCAAACAAATCAGACGGCGCTTTCAGATGGTGACCTGGATTGCTTCCTCTTAAACCTTCTGTGATCTTATTAAGTATGAATTATTAGGCTTTTCAGATACAAAATGAAGCATTACTCGGCAACTACAGTTTTTATTTCCTGCCCCAGTTTTATACGGGTTTAAGAGCCATTTGACAGAGCAGTCGCCTTGTTTTTCAAGCTTGAGAATCAGAGGCGATGGTTGATGACAGCCCAGTCAGGGGTGCATTTATCTAATCTCGTGTGGGAAGGGTTGCTGTGATGTCTCAGTGAAGTGGAGCACATTCAGTCATCTGTTGTTGTGCTAGAAAAACAAATTCAAAACGAGGCCAGCAAGACATCAGTGAGTGCATCTAAATCTTAGTGTTGTCTTTCTAAATTCTATGAATGAAAAACATCAACATCTTATTATTTTTATTTTGACCTTAGCCCAGACACTTAAAAGTCCTTTAATAAAAATACAAAAAAATGTATGATTGCACACCATCCAACAAAAAACTGCAACTGAATTTGACCTTTTATTATAAAATAATACAAACGGCAACATTGTGAAATGTGAAAGGAAAAACTAGAACTGACAAAAGACTCACTTTAATAAAAGATAGGTTATACATTTTTTACTCTTATCATGTTTGGGATTTAAAGTAAATTAGGATAGGGTAAACTCATACTCAATTCACAGTTAGCATGATTCCTCGTTTGTCATTTGCACTGATCTGTTCTTTAGGGATTAGGGTTAGGGTCAATGAGGTACCTTTTTATGTACAATACAATTCCTGGGGAATTAATCACGAAAATGATATTGGATAAAGTAACTACAGAGGAGAGATTGGATATTTCATCTGATAGGGTAAAGAAAAACCATCAATGTGTTCCATGACATTGAAGCTAACACCTTATTAAGATATAGCACATATAAAGTCAAAATATCTTTCTCTTACCCTGTTTCATAGACAAACCAATGAGTGTGCTTGTTTTTCTTTTCTGTTAGTCTATAAATGTCTCCTCATAATATTTGCTGCTCTTGTTTCAGCTCTTACAGTATCCCTCTGTCCCGGCTCCATTTCCTCCCCACTTTCACAGTTGGTGTTTTAGTTAGTGCTACTCTGTACAGAATAAATCTTTCACCTCTGTCAGCTCCATTCTCGGTTCAAGACAAACGCTCCTCTGTCAGGCAGTTTAACACCCTTTTATTCCAGCCAAAATACACTGCTACTGATTATACAAGACTTTTTTTATATTTACAGACTCAAGTCTCTCCCTTCTCTACTTCTGATATTGGATATTTACAGTATAAGGGTCACACTGGATGAGAGAACAGCTCTGTTTATAATCAGGTAACCTTTGTGTCAGTGGCAGGAATGTGATGTTCTGGAGAAATCAAAACACAAAAAGATAATATTGATCTAGACATGGTACAAGAAAATTCATGTCAAGATTATCCTGGCCAAAATAATTTATGATTCACAATATTATCCAGATAATCATCTAGATATGCTTTAAACTCTTGAAACATACTTTAAAGGTCCCATGTCATGGCCATTTCTACTGATCATAATTCCATTGTTGAGGAATACTAAAATAGATTTATATTGCGCAATTTTCCAAACTCACATTGGTTTCTCATACAGCATCTCTGAAAAGTATGTGTCTTCACTCTCTGTCCTAAACGGCTTGTTGGAGCTCCGGCCCCCCCCCTCCCTGTGAGCCCAGTGTGCTCTGATTGGTCGGGACGTTGCGAGGCTCGCTGCTCAGTGAGCTGGCTTACTGGTGTGGTTTCCGGGTCGGCGATACAGCGGGACAGCGCGAAACTCATCCTGAGCACACACAAACACTCACAGCCGAAGTAAAAACAATAAGTGTGGCTTGATATTGAGTAAGAAAAAGGTATATACACGCTGTGAGAACTTTTCTATTACCAACCAGGGAGCTCTATGCAAGTCAATGGGACTCCCTGTTAGTTGAAAATGTACGCTAATGGTCCTGGTGTGTGAGGAGCTCCGCGGATTGGTCCATTTTGGTTCCCGGAAGAAACAAATGGAAAAAGAGAAATCTCCAACGAGGCGTTCTGGGGCAGCATAGACAGGTCTTTTCTGTGTTAGAGTTGTACTCGCTACAGGGTGTACTTTGAGGGTTTTTCACTCTGCACACCGTTTACATGCATAAAAACCTTCATAACACACAAGGGGACGGGTAGGGATGTCCCGATCACCTTTTTTTGCTCCCGATCCGATTCCGATCATTTGATTTTGACAATCTGCCGATACCGATTTTTCCCGATCCGATCTTTATGCAATGCATTAAGAGGAAAAAGAAGGTAACAGATAACGGCTGGTCATCCAACGCGATGAATTCAGCTATCTTGGCTGTTATTTTTTTGGCCTTTTCACTGTTCTGGGGTAGTTTCTCTTTCCTTTTAAAAGTCTCTGAAAGTGTCGGTTGTTTCAGTGCCGTTACCTGAGTGGCCGCTGTGTACTCGTCGTGTTGTTGTTGGTGGTGTTTGTATTAGATTGGTCATGTTGAACGTAGCTCTGTTCTTTCCACCACGCGGAACCTCCGCCTTGCAAACATTGCATCTGGCTGTTACACTGCCTTCGCTTTCAATTTTATAATACTTCCAAACTCCTGACATTTTCTCTGTCCCGACTCCCGAGTCACCAGCTGAACGTAGCCTCTTGTTAGCTTACTGCTACTATTGGACACTGCGCCCACTCTGTTGCCAGATTTGAGAGAAATAAGCAACCAGGTCTATGAAAACAAGCCCAAAAGAAGCAACACATACATGATGTTGTGTAATTTTAACCCAAAACTAAGGCCTCAGGATGACTTTAAGACGTGAACATGGTCATTTTTGTAACATTAAATAAAATGTATAAAAATATTTTATAAAAAAAAAAATTCCGATCCCCGATTTTTTTCTCCCGATCCCCGATCACGTGAAAATCACGTGATCGGCTCCGATCCCCGATCACGTGATCGGATCGGGACATCCCTAGGGACGGGTAATAACCAGAAAAGCATGACATGGGACCTTTAATGCATTAACCATTCTACAAATAATGTTGTTGCATCACAGATAGGAGAAACAACTTTAGTCAAAAACAAATAGACTCTTTAATAAAGAATTCATGAACCAAACCCCTCCATAAATAAAGAATACAACAAATTATATAACATTTAGTGAGTCTGTTCTTTCGGCAGAATAATCTTTTTTATACAATTGTATAATTCTTAAATTATATAATCTCAATTTTCCACAGTTTTTTTGTCCCCATTTTTTTCAGTTATTTTTCAGAGTTGTCAGAAAAGAAAATGCGTTCTTGTTCCCACCCATTTTCGGAAACACAACTCAATGTGAAATAGTATGACAGCAGTTAACTGATATAACATGCAAATCTATGCATCAGTAGATTACAAGTTTAAATCTCTTGTGTAACGCGGATTATTTTATGCCGTTTAGTGTTATGCTATGTAAGCAGTAATGAATAGTTGGTGCAACAAAAAGCTTTGAGTCTGCAAAATGCGGATTAAAATGGTGGTTATCTCCTAAAATTAAAGGGGCCCTTTTATGCGCACTTTCCGGCTCATCTCTACATTTAGTGCCTCTACTGTGACATGTTTACAAGCTTTAATGTTCAAAAAGGTATTTATATTTCTCAGACTGCCTGTGCTGCAGCACCTCTTTTCACCCTCTGTCTGAGCCCGGTCTGCTCTGATTGGTTAGCTGGCCGGCTCTGTTGTGATGGTCAACCGCTTAGAGATGTCCCGCCCTTAAGCCTATCACAAACAATGCCTTGGAGTGCTAGCCAATAGAAGCACAAGTGTTACATAACGGTGACAGTGACACTATATTAGGGAAGTAAACAAAGGAGTCCAATGGAAGTGTTTCCGGCAGGGGGAACTTTGGGATTTCAGCCTTTGCAAACCATTTACATGCACACAAACCTATATAGCACACTACAAGAAAGGGAAAATGCAAAAATAGCGGCCCTTTTTATGAACTTTCAGATTGCTACATTATGATTGATGATTACTGAGATTGGCGAATACTTGGAAAATGGAGCCATGTCATACACTCTGAGGCAAAAACTGAAAAAGAAAATGTTCACATTGATTTAGTCTCAGGCAGGCTCAGTCATTCATGATCAGATATGTATTTTCTTGTTCTGCAGAGCCCATAGTGAGGAACGGTCGTCCTCCCTCCGCCCACAGTGTGCACTCCTTCCTGCACCAGTACACGGGCTCCTTTAAAAAGCCGCCGCTGCGACGGCCTCAGAGCGTCATCGGAGGAGGTCTGGGTTCTCTCATGGTCATGCCTCGCAACGGCAGCCGCCTCGGTAAGACACGCATACACGCTAAATTATTCAATATCTTATTCAAACTCACTCACAAACACGCTGTGATCGCATTAGATATGTATCTTTTCTTTGACTTTTAACAGAGGTTTAGCACAGGAAATGTATTGTGTGTCAATTGGTAGGATCTGTATAGAAGTTGCTACAGTGGATACGTTTGATTTAGTTTTTCAATGAGTCCAAAGTCCACATGCAAAATATCCTTTAAAACTGCATGTCAAATATTTTAATTTTATTATTTGTATATTTCTAATGTGTCAGCTGAGCCTCACACACAGCGATATGTTATGTGCCAGAGGCCTATATTAGTGCAGACACGCACATAAGCAGCAGTACAATCCTTCCTCTTACATCCAGTCAAACAATAAGCCATTTGTTACGAAATGTGACAAACAATTATGTGTTTGAACACTTCCATCAAACCAGCAATCCAGATCCAATATTTAAATGTTCAACACTGCCTAATATAAGCAAAAAACCTGGAGGAAATGGAGTTTGTTTAGGCATTGGAAGATTACAGTGTGGGTTTGTCTTGTAAGGCCCTGTGGCAAAGAAACAATTTAAATCCATCAGTCAAACTTCTTAAAACCTGATACACTTGCTGTGTTTAAATCTTCTCCTCGACACAACTAGAAACAAGATAAGATCAGGGGCGCTCGTAAAAGTGTCCAAGAGAGTGTTTTTCTTTCCTGCCCAGTGTTGAGCCCTGCCCTGTTTCCTCAGACCTGCTCCATCTGTCAAACTCAAACTCTTATCCCGTATGCTCCAGATATCGTCCATGAGAACCTGAAGATGGGGTCTGACGGGGAGAGTGACCAGGCGTCGGGGACTTCCTCCGACGAGGTGCAGTCGCCCACGGGTGTGTGTCTTCGAAACAGAGGGAACAGACGCATCTCTGCAGAGGTAGGATTTTTTCTTTGTGTGTTTAGACGTCATCTGTCCTTGGAAACCTTTAAAATGATGGACATGTTGTAGAGGAGATGAATCACTGGCTACATACCTTTTTTTAATATGTTACTTTTGTAAAATAAGTGATGACACATTGGCTTGGCTGTTCTGATGCATTCACTGGGAAGTAAATGAAGCATAGTGTTTGATAATGGACCTTTTACTCGGCAGGAATCGGTATTTAATGATGTGTGCATTGCAGCACTGTGCTGTAACTCAGCGTAGGCAGATTCTGAAAGTGTCAGGAACACGCTCAGCTGCCCACAAAATCTCAGACACACACACACACACACACACACACACACACACACTGTTACTCTAAATGTACTGCACTGCTGAACATGCTTTTAAAATCTGATTAATGCACTTTCACTGTCGCTACTACCAACCCCCTGCCTTACTTTCTCGCTCTGTCTTCATGCAACACACACACACACACACGCACGCGCGCAGTTTACAGATTGTTTCATTCCTCTGGTGGTTATATAATGTCAACTCATTACGGAAAGACTTTTCACTCGCTGCGAATATTAATGTTATTGTTGCACATGAATGCAGAACCAGAGAGTGAAAGCTTTGATCCATGCAGCTTGTAGGGACACATGAGGCAGTAAGAAAGGCAATCACACTGCTTTTTAGGCAACAAATAAAGAATTTGCTGACATTGATTTACATCAGATTATTTGTGTAGATATCAGTAGTAATTAAAGAGAATGAGATGGACAAAATGACACACCTGCTTGATGCTTCCTTCCTTTGTCAACTGTTTAACAAAGCTCGGTCTCTTCAATCCATCTTAATGGCCACTAATGGGATTTAAGGATGTACAACTGACCTTCCAGCCTCATAGTGAAAGTGAACAAGAACATTACTTCCTGCCTTCTCTATTTGATTTTCATTTTTATTACGCTTAGCATTCTCAGAAGTACTTACAGAAGAGGAATAGAAATAGAAATATAATCTGTTTTCATCATTGCATATGAATGAGGTTGAAGATGGGAGTACTATTCAAATATAGTGATGTCATGTTTTTATATAGTTTAAAAACTCTTAAAATAAAGTAAAAATATGACTAATTTTAGAGCTTTGGTTTGGGATTAGAGAAGCAAGCTATTAAAACTTGATTTATATAATGTAAAATATATAAACACAGGCCAACTCTTTCCCTCTACAGTAAAGTAAAATAAACACCCGTCAGGCCTCCTTTATCTTAAATAATTATAATGATCGTTAACATATTATTTTGAACGTAAAGAAGAAACATGGCTAGACGGACACATTGCGTTTCAACCGTTTCATTTCGATTCAATGAAATGGTTAGACGGATATATTAGTATTCTGCAAAAACATATATATCTTTCATTGAGTTTTGTCGAGATATTGCTCTCAATAAATATAAATAATACAATAATCAACCCAAGCTTTTTTTATTGCAAAAATAATCTGCAATAATTAGCGGAAACATAATTCTTCCTTTTTGTTTTTTTTGCACTGTGTGTGTTTTGTGCTGTGTGGTTGATGTTGACACCCTGCCAGCGCACCACATGTTGCTCAGTACCTGCTGGGCGATCATGCGAGGAAACGTCTTGTGATTGAAGAACACACACTCCCCTCCCTCTGACACGCTTTATTGGTCCGTTTGATTGCAGGACCTCTGGGGGATTTACGAGCAGATACCAGTCGCTACGCAGACAAACCAAACATGCAAGGCTGCACGATAGAAAAACTTTAAACTTGTAGTCAAGCAGCTTACTCCATTTGAAGCAACCCACACACAGAGACATGACGCATCACCTCTAGCTGTGCATTGACAGAGTGTTCAAGAAGCGATGCACCCCCCACTTCCTGTGACTGTTTCACAAGAAGAGGTTCAGTTGGACAGAAACCCATACATAGCCTTTCACACTTTTATACTGACAAACAAACAAAGCAGTGGGATTAATGGCGCTGTAGCTGACTTTAGGAACATATTTCACCATTATCTGTGGTTAAATGCAACTTTTTATCTTTTGTTTCTTTTTCTGTGGTGTTTTACCTTCACAGTAACAGTTTGACAGTGTCAGTTTGTTGCCATGGTATGTTGAGAGTAACTTAGCAACAGTTGGATTTGTAGCTGTGTTAATAGGGAATGGACCTGCGCGGCTAACAAAGTAGCGTAACCTTTTCACTTTCAACTTTTTAAAACATTGTCAGTAGGCACTGTTATCTCGCTGGCAGTAACAGACACTCCAATACATATGAAAGAAAGCTAGAAATAAGGACCCTGGGATCACATTTACACTATACTATTTATAGTAACATTGAAACGTAGCAATCATCAGCAAGAGATGCAGAATTGCAATATTGAGGAATGCTGTACTACAGCACAAACCACTACACAGGGAGTATGATTTAAAACAGGACATATTTTAATACTATTCTGATAGATTAACTGCATAATAAGCCAACGTTTTGTTAGCATTCAGTTAGCCATGTTTCCTCTGTCCGTATGATTCGATAGTTGTAGTTAAACCTGTGGAGTTTTAGGTCCTTTTTTTATATTTGGAAATTGCAGACAAGTGTAGACACCAACTCTAAACACCAGAGAGGCACCGACCTCAGTAACAGTGATTGGTCCCTTCTTCTCTTAATGAATAAGTACACAGGTCAATAACTTACTAACTAACTCCTCTGCTACATCACTGTGTCCTCATGCTTCGCCTTTGTGCTGATGTGACATTCAGTGGAGAAGAAGTGAGGAAGAGGAAATCCCTCCGTCTGTGGGCAGGTGGAGGACTGTAGGTCTCACTGGAGAGGAAGCAGTGCTGTTTCGGGATTACATCACAAGGATTACAGTAATGCGCTCCAGATGGGCCCCTGTTGTCAAAGATTAGGACGGGTTGATTGGACAACTGTTGGTTGGGGCAGGGTGCAGAGGTCAGGTGATGCATGGCATCACTTGCTCCTGGGACGAAGCAACAATCCTGACTCAGCATACGGAAACTGCAAGCTGAGAGTTATTTCATTGAAAAATATAGATACCAATACATCAATGAAGTGTAGCAGTTATATAAATGAATTGATATATAGATTTTTACCATGCATTTAGATTTGAAACAATTAGACAGAAGTTAATATACAGTGATTTTTTTATAATTAATTTAATTATACAAATAATAATTGTTGCCTCTTAAGTACTAGAATTGGCGTTTTTTCTTCGTCTTATATGATAATAAACTTATTATTTCTAGTTTTTGGGCTGTAGATCGGATAAATAAGCATTTTGCAGAGGTAAACTTGGGTTTCAAGAGCCTATCATTTTAAACATTCCCCCATTTTCTCAAATTATAATGGCAAAGCAATTAATCCAATAACCAATAAATGAGCCATAAGGGCGATAATTGTAAATTGCAGTCCCATATCAATTATTATATCCTTTTTTTGCTTGAAATAAAGTTTGTATTAGTTTGTACATGGCTCTTGACAAAATAATTTAAATATATGTTGCATAAAAATAAACAAATAAATCCTCACGGCAACAAAATCGGTCGTGTTACACTATTGTAATAAACATTGTCCCCTTACTACAACCTTTATTAACTGCTATATGCAGATTACGGTATGTCCCATTTATTAAAGTTGTTTTAAAACCAATGAAAACGTCCGTTGAAGCTAATCTGATGTCTGAATCTGTCCAGCGTAGACAACAATAAGGGCAGAAGCTGAGTCACCGTGTTAGTATAGAAGGAAAGGCTTTGGGGTCAGTCACCTCAGGTTACAGATTTATCAATGAGCTGGTTGTTGAAATGTGGACGGTTCAAGGTTGCATATTGTTGTGTTGCATATTGTTGGGGGGGTTGCTAGTGTCCAGTGTTACCTCAGAGGGAGTGGAAGATTTAAAGCAGTGAGAGAGAGCGAAAGGGAGGGAGAGAGAGGCTGGATTAACAGTAATCTAACAAATAGAGGAAATGCATGATGGGATGAATCCAGGCACTGCATTGTGAGCGTGTTTTGATTTGATATAACAAGTCATAAGGATCATGCTAGTGCTTTGCTGCTCTAGGAATGGAAGTCTTGCATTGCTCTACAGTAGGTCTCTATCAAGCACACAAGTCTGCTACAACACACTGTAAAACTGCATGCTGCTACACACACACACACACACACACACACACACACACACACACACACATACACACACACACATACACACACACATACACATACACATACACATACACATACACACACACACACTGGCCTCTCTGTTGACCAGTGAGGCCTAAAGCCGCCTGCCTATTACAGATGCTACTTGTTTACTCTGGGTTTCGGCCATTTTGTTGTCAATCTCTGGTATTTATTCAGAGTTTACGCTGTTTGCTGAGGGTTTCTCATTGGTTTAATGTCATGTTGACACTGTTTTAAAATTAGGTTCTCTGTTGTTTTTAACCCTTTATGTGTGTGTGTGTGTTCTGCAGGACCTGAACAAACGTCTGTCCCTGCCGGCTGACATCCGGATACCCGACGGCTACCTGGAGAAGCTGCAGCTGAGCAGCCCGCCCTTCGACCAGCCGCTGAGCCGACGCTCCCGCAGAGCATCACTGGTGAGACCAAGGGAGAGAACTGGGTTAGGGTTAGGAACAATGTGGTCAAATGGATAATAAATCAAATGGAAATCTAATTCAGTTTTTAAGCTGTTATGATCCTACTGTAAACCTTCCTGCTAAGCACCGAACACCAGACACAGTTAGTGACTAGCCGAGCATTTAGCAGCTGTAGAGCCACATATTTTTCTCTGGAGTTTGTGGAAACTAAAACCATATCTAAAAGGAACATGTACATTTGACTTCCAGTTATCAACTTAAGTAAAACATGAGACCCCCTCCCCTTTCATTGGCCTATATTTGTTTTGGCTATGAGCAATCAAGGTCTGCATGATTTTGAATCTGAAGAAACATTTGAAACATGAACAGTCTCAAGTTCTGGATATGTATCTATAAAGAGGATCATTTTTCTACATTGTTTTATGGACAATCATATGTGTCTCTGGTCAGATAAAACTGAGTTATGACTCGGAGAATGAGTGATATTTCTTTACTTGAATTTTGGCAAACTTGTGTAAAGCGTTTACATTGCCTCTTTGAACTTGTCACAGAAGCTGCTGCTAACGTTGACTGTTGGTAAAAGGTCAAAATCACTGGTTCAACCTGAAGAACAATAACCCACTTCCTATTCTTAGCCACCGTCCTTTTCACCTTCTCGTATTTATCAGTTGAGGATTGACTTGCCTGTCCTGTTTATTAGATACAAATCAAAGTACTTCTACCTGCTTATTAACTGTCAACAATGCCTGAAATGGTCTAATACACCCAAAGAATGTCAAATATATAAATGTATATCATTTCATGTCAGATATTCCTTATATAATCCAACCATTATCTTATCTCACTATGCTCAGGTCAAATCTGGATCAGCACGTAAACTCATAGCCCAAACTGGGAGATACATGTAGGATTAAATTCTACAATACTTCCCTGTGATATGTTGTATTTAAAAATAAAACTCAAGTGCTGATACCTCCGAACTCTGCTTATGTAAATGTGCAGTAGTTGCTGCCCACTTCTAAAAGAGCGTGCTGTTCGGATTTGAGAATCAGCAGTGGAGGAGAGCCGGGCAGAAACGGAGGCAGCATAAAGATAGCTTTTAAGCGTTATGTTTTATTTAAAAGCACCTAGAAACCGAAGTGAGAGAGCTCACACCTTCCTTCCTCCGCTCTCTGATCTCGTCCTTTCCTCGCACAGTCCACTGCCTTTGCGTTCACGCCTGCGCCCCTGCAGAGTTGTTTATAAAGCACTGAGAGGCTTCGGTCAATTTATTTTCCACCCGGAGATCTCAGCTCACCTGGCTCTGGTCCTCATGCGTCCTCAAGAGGCTCCGGTTATGCTGAGGTAGGGGTTTTTTTTTTATGCTCCGAGTGGCTGGAAAATGTTTCCTGAGGACTCAAGATGACCTCAGGTTTCCACTTCCTTTTATAATTAATATTGCATCTATATTTCTCTAAAGCATATTTAGCCTGTAACCAATTTATATTCATTATAAAAAAATCTGCAGATTATTTTTTTGATTATTGAGTGGTTGATTTATTTGTAAAAGTCAGAATATAGTGAAAAATACATCTTATAATTTCCCATAGCCCAATGCGATGTATTAAGCTAGCTTTTCTTTGTCAAATTACAATCCAAAACACAGATATATATTCATACATTTGAAAGAAAAGCATTAAATCAAACATTAGATAAGGTTTAAAAGACGGTTGCATGTTCTGTTAATTGTTCAGTTAATGAATTGATCTATTACTAAAGCTCTAAAGCACATTAGGGTTTCACATTGCGTCTCAAACATGCTTAATAAAGGAAGTTAGCCTTCCCTTCCCTATAAACAAACACATCGTTGAAGCCGAAAGCCAGCGGTAGTTTGTCGGAGGAGATTATCTGTGACGGTGGTTGGGGGGGTGGTTGACCTCTTTACTCCCCCCCCTCTGTTGCTGCGAGGCCGTCATAAGGATTTGCCGTAGTGTCAGTAAGCTTGTCAGCGCTAATTAAGACGCCACCCTCATTAATACAGCTTGTCCCTTTCTCTTCTGCAGTCAGAAATCGGATTTGGGAAGTTGGAGACCTACATCAAACTGGATAAACTGGGGGAGGTACGTGAGAGTGTTTGTTTACCTTCTCCACAGGTGCTGACGTTCTCACAGAGTTAAACACAGGTGTAGAGTTTGCTTTAACCCCTGACAGCCTGACTCACCTGCCTGTCTTCCTGTCTCCCTTTCTTTCTGTCCTCCTGTCTTCCTGTCCTCCAGGGCACGTACGCTACAGTCTTCAAGGGGAGGAGTAAGCTGACGGACAACCTCGTGGCGCTGAAGGAGATCAGACTGGAGCACGAGGAGGGGGCGCCATGCACCGCTATCAGAGAAGGTATGAAAGTTCAGTGTTGCACCAAGATTACAATAAATTACCCCCAATAATAATAAATCACTAGGAATATATCACTCTTTTCCCGGGAATCTGGCCATTTCCTGCCGTAATAGAGCGCTTTATTATATAAAAACAAATTCCAGATATGTAGTGGACCTTTTCTGATAGTATTGTTTCATATTCATTCGACTTTGTGGAGGTAGAACTCTTAAAAGTCTTAAATGATAAATAAAAAAAGACCCCAAGAATACAGTATCATTTTATCTAGTTACAAACAATATAGTTTGTCCAAAAAAGTCATAGCATAATTTGTCATAAAGGAGTCGTAGCATAGTAGGTGATAAAAGGTATTGGCGGTTTAGTTTGAGGTGTTGACGAGGTGTCTATGTTTCAACACATGCTGGGAATGCGCACTGGCACACAAACAACAAATCTCCTAAATCCCCAGATTTGGCTAGAAAACACCAGTCTCTAATGTTGTAACACAAAACCAGGATGTTACACAATAAAGAATCGTCACAAAAATGCATGAATATACCGATTACCTCGATGTGGGGTGAGTTTGGAGTGAATCACAGAAGTTATTCAAGGAGAGTAATGTCTTAATAGTCTTCCGAGTCCTTTTGTTGTAGTTTTAATTTTGTTTCATCTTTGTTGTGACTTGGTCGAGACATTTGTGTTCTAAATTGCTTTTGTTTCCTCTTTCCTCTAGTGTCATTACTGAAGGACCTGAAACACGCCAACATAGTGACGCTGCACGATATCATCCACACAGAGAAATCACTCACACTGGTCTTCGAGTACCTGGTGAGACCCTCACTTCCTGCATGACTCGCATGTTAATTCTGTGCACTGATGCTAATATCAATACATTATACATCATAACTATTCATGACCCTCTGCACAGTTGAGGATGATACTGTCATGTAGGAGCACAATTGTTGCTATGCTTTTATCCTTTCTATGCTTCGAACACCCTCCCTCACTCTTTCTTCTTCTCTCCCCCTCTCTCTTTTGTGTAGGACAAAGACTTGAAGCAGTACATGGACGACTGCGGGAACATCCTGAGCATGCACAATGTCAAGGTGAGTCTCTGCAGGCGGCCTGCTGGTCAACTTCATCAAATGCCATGAGTTTGTTGCTTGTATTGATGCAAGAAACACTATTAGTGTGCCCCCTGGTGGTGAAGCTACGGCACTGAAGGGGAAAGTGAAATTTGCTTTACTAACCTTACTTTTCCACACAATTGTAATGTTTTTGTGCATTTTGTATCTTTAAATAAAGAAAATAAGATAATAAATACTTGAACTTCATATTAAAAGTGAACCTGGGCTCTTTGAAAGGAGCGCATGTAAATATTATCTTTCTCAAATTACATGTATCCAGGATTCTTTAGCTTTTTTCAATGGGGTTTGGGTAAAATTGCATGTAATGTAGCATCAATATCAGTTCAGCAATGCTTTTTGAAACTGATTTCACCGATGTGACGAGAGTCGCTAATCTAGAATATCTCTCTGCCTAGATTTTTCTATACCAGATCCTGCGAGGCCTGGCGTACTGTCACAAACGGAAAGTTCTCCACAGAGACCTGAAGCCCCAAAATCTGCTCATCAACGAAAGAGGAGAACTCAAACTGGCTGACTTTGGTAAAAACGAAAGAAAATACTTACACCAATCTGTTTGAGATAACAATTCTTATAGTGATGGATTATCTGCCACTTGGATGTTAAAAAAACACTTGTTTTTACAATTCTTTAAGATGAATTCATCTATTATTTTCAAAAACTGCTTGGAACAATTGAGCAATTAATGAAAATGTTTGAAAGCCACACTTCAGTTTGTACTAAATGTGCCTCTTGGATCAGTTTTTTTATTTCTCATATTTCTGCTCCACAGGCCTGGCGAGGGCCAAATCAGTGCCCACTAAAACATACTCTAACGAGGTGGTGACTCTTTGGTATCGCCCCCCCGACGTGCTGCTGGGCTCCTCTGAGTACTCCACGCAGATCGACATGTGGTGAGTGGGCCGCACTCAACAGGAAAGATTACAACTGTTATAAAACACGTTTCATAACTCTCTATGTCCATATGACAGGGATGGTGCAAAAGCAAATATGATCCTCAAGAAGAAAGATCTTTTTTTGTACCCGTCGGTGTGGAATTAGCCCCTCTGTTTGGATCTTCTTTGAATAAGTTGAGCAACGTATGAAGTGCAGCAGCAGACAGGTGTCCTAAGCTTCAGTAAAAACACTTTGATGTGGCACATGGTTGTTAGCGACTGAACGAGCTGTTATGAAATTTAAAGCATGAATGGTTTCTCTTCAAAGTACCCGGCTTTCTTAAATTAATCCTTCCTTTGATTTTTCCTTCGTTGGACAAATTGTAGTTGGCCATATAATGTGCGATTCAGGGAAGAAGATCAAAAACACAGATGACCTGTTGGAAAGATTAGTGATAGATCTTCAGTCAGACTTCTTTTCCTGACCTGACCCCACCTCTCTGCCCTCCTCTCAGGGGTGTGGGCTGTATTTTCTACGAGATGGCCGCCGGCAGGCCCCTGTTCCCAGGCTCCACGGTGGAGGACGAGCTGCACCTCATCTTCAGGCTGCTAGGTCAGTGCTGCCCTCTGCTGACCGGGGACCACTCAAACTTTTAATATGAGCTTTTAATCGCATTAACCCTGGCATGCAGCCCCTGTGGCAGCCCGAAAAGTCCCTCCAGCTGCCACGGTAACGTCTGACTAACAGGGTCCATTGAATGTCCCCCCACAGGCACTCCCACAGAGGACAGCTGGCCCGGGATATCCTCGATGGACGAGTTCAAGTCCTACAAGTTCCCCAAGTACAAAATCCAGCCGCTCATTAACCACGCACCCAGGTGAGAATTCCCCCTTAAATATCTGATTTATCTTTTACAACAGATTTAGCGTTCTGCAGCTCATTACATTTCACATCAGATATTAATACAGCATTTCTACAGTCTTTTAACACTCTGCCTCACTTCTCTTGTTAGCCCTGTAATCATTGAGGATGGAAGTGAGCAAATGTTGAGACCCAGGTACGAGAGGAGTAACTGTATGTAGAGCTTTTCAGAAGCTTAGAGATTTAGTCATTTAGGTTTTGTTTAGTTAGCAGTGTGTGCTCTTTGTCACTTCCTGTAAGGAAATCCTGTGGAATAGTTGACTGTGTTTCCTTCCTTACACTCGCCAGCATCTGTGAGTCACCCCCACCTCCACTGACCTTTCTCTCTCCCCCCCCCCCCCCCCCTTGTAGGTTGGACACTGATGGCATTGACCTGCTGATGTCATTCCTAAAAGTGAGTCTCTCTAAATCTGCCAGGCATGCCTGCGATGTTAAAAGCAGTGCGACACATTTAGCAGATATGTTAGGGCTGTATTTGTGGACAGAAGTAAATCAAGGAGCAACAACACATTGCTGACCTCCTTTCTTTTTTAATAACTGTCTTTCTCTCACTGCCGAATTTCAGTATGAGTCGAAAAAGAGGATCTCCGCTGATGAAGCAATGAAACAGCCGTACTTCAGGAGCCTGGGGCCACGTGTGCTCGCACTGCCAGAGAGTGAGTAATGAAACGCCGTAATGCAGACTTGGCAGGCTACGAGTTGAAGGATATTGCAGCGAACAGCGAGTATCAGTTACAGCTTCATGACAAATAAACTATTTTCTTGGCAAGATGTGATTTCTGTAGCACTGACGGCCTCTTTGTGTCTGACAGGCATATCCATATTCACACTGAAGGAGGTCCAGTTGCAGAGAGATCCCGGCTACCGGAACTCATCATACCCCGAGTCAGGTGAGGGATGAATCATGGATGAGCACTTTGCTTTTGTATTCACTGTGAATCTAAATTATGAGGTGTGCCTCCCCAGGGGGCCGAGGGAGAGTTGAAGGGGAGCCTTGAGTCTAAGATACTGCATGGGGGGGGGAAGAGACAGCTGCATGCTAGGGTTTTTTTAAAAACAACAGGAAGTGAGTCAGGCCTGTTCATGAACTTGGTAAATGGTTTTAGCTGTGCCTGTGCCACACCTTATGGAGGCAATTCATGTAATTGAACCATTTATAATATAACAAATGTGCATTTTCCTTCTAAAAATGAACTCACTGCATGCAAAGAGTGTTTACAGTGAATGTGACTTACAATGAGGATACTGAGGACTTCATTTTATCTGACTTCCATGGCAAATAACCAGTCTTAAATCCACTCTAGTTAGTTAATAGAAAACTGCTATGGTAACTATAGTAACTGCTCCTTTTAATTGGCTTTCTTCTGCATCAAATAAATCCAGTGAATGTTTCCCATACATACTTGTTCACATTGCATACAGGAGCTGCTTATACTTAAATAATGACACTTTTAATGTCACCTATTTGCCAGAATGTAAACAAATATAAAGGTGAAAAATTAGGCTTAGGTTAGGGCTGGGCAATGTATTCGTATTGTGACATGGGAATAGATATTTTCTTAGATTAGTAGTGTTTACTTATTCTGTTGTTATTGTTTATATTGCAGTGAAGTTGTTGTGTGATGTTATCCACTTGGTCATTATATCCACATTGCTGATGATTCTTTATCAAATGTCTCATTGTGTTAATATTTTGTCAATGCAGCAAATGTCAACCCTGAAGTATCATCATGATATTAAGGTATTTTGTAAAGAAATATTGTGATGTTTTATTTGTATTATAAGTCTCATACTAAACTCCGTCGTAGTTCCTGTTAACAAGCATTATGGGAGTAGTTGTTGCAAACCTTTCCATGTAGATTCTGGGGTTTGGGGGTCCTGCTGTAAACTGAAAATAAAAACTAAATAATATATGTTTCTCTCTTTGTCTCCCCTCAGGCAACGGAAAGAGCAGAAGACAGAGCATGCTGTTTTAGATTCTCTGGACTGTATTTTTTTATTTGGGAAGGATAGCTGTACAGTCTCGCCGATGGATCAGTAACCTGAGATGGATGTTGGCATGGAGCATCATCTTCATCATCACCATCATCCTCATCATTACAAACCCCCCCCAACTTGGGAAACTCGTCCACAGTGCGACCGATCCCCTTTCCAGGTCTGGCCTGAATCTGGCCAATGAGAGACATTTATATACTGTACATCTATATTTATTGAGAAGAGAATTTGCTGCTAAATCCAACTACTGTCTAGAATTCTAACGGGCTCAGTCACTTTAATGAGTACATGCAATGTGTATAGATTTCATTTCTTTTGAAGTGGTGGTATTTTAAGTTTTTTTTGTCATTTCCATTTTCATACATAAGAAAAACTCAGCCTCGAAACTCCTCAGTGTGTGTGGGGGGGTGTGTGAGGCACACAGCGAGCAGAGGCATGTTTCTGTAGCAACTCAATAGGGTTTGATTACTGTCTCTGTTGCCACGGTGCTGTTTCTCAGCTGCACCCATCATTTGTGACCGTTTACTCCGAGGCTGGCTTTGATATAACTGATCATTTTATCCTAACTGGAGGTTACTAGGAGAGCAGTGCAGCCAAAAAAGATCCCGCTCTTGTCAGAGGCTGGCATATCATTCCAGGATGCTGCGGTTTCTGTCGTGACCAAGAAACACATGCAGGAGGGAAAAGCAAACGTAGAAATAATGACAAGGGCATTACAAGATTAGTAACGCCTCTTAGCTCTGAATAAAACATAATTATGTAACTAAAGTGAACCTCCTTCTCATCCTTTTTCCATCTCAATCTGACACTTCTCCAGTCTGTTACAAGGGGAGGTGAACGTGAACCCCCAGTGTTGGACTCTGCTGGCTTTGAGCTTCGCAGATGTGTTCTCCTCTCTGCCATTCCCATCTCCATCAAATGTAGAAAAAAAAAATGTATCTTTTTGTTTCTGGATTGGCTCCATCTTTGTGTTGCATGCCTGCTCTGTTGTATGAGGAAGCACACAGCCACTGAGCTCCTGATTCGGAGCGCTAGCTATAGTCCTGCCCCTAGTGAATACCATCCTGAGTCAGTCTATTTAACAGTGTTACAAGAGATGTTTTGTATGATATTCTTTAACTTTATTTGTTGATAATTGTTATTGGTGTGGGATTTCATTGCAGATGCCCTCCCATATTTTAGCTTTTTTCCAGAGTAAAGAAAATTAAATCTAAAACAGAAGTCATGTGACCTGGTTGTGTTTCTCTCTGCTGTACGGACACTTCTAGCTACTGTAAAATGTTGGATTTAAAGACACTGTGTTTAAGCATTCAATGCTTTGTTTATTGAAAATGACAAGACATTCTTCACAATACAAAATTATACAGAATACAAACTGTATACCAAGTCCAGTATAAAAAAAAAATGAACATTACAAGTGTTACAAAGGTTTTTCATTGATTTGAAATCTCGTCTTCATTAAAAGGTTTTGGAAAGAGAAAAATAGGACAACAAGGCACAGCCGGTACTATCTGAGAAGCATAGTGCATACATTACATAGAAAACCACACAAGTAAAACAACCAGTTTCACGTTGTGATGAACACTTATGGAAAACAAAGATTTTTTTGTATTTATACAAGATTAAAATAACCAAGCTCTCTGCGCAGAATGAGCGGCTGGCTAGCCGTTTGCAGCGAGCTATGCGTCTCTACTGTCCAGCGTGGACAGGGTCATGTGGAAATGTGCTGTACGTTATAAAGAGCCAGACGTCTCTCAGACATCGCGGCGTATGGCTTTTACCAAGTGCTTTCAACCACTGGAATCTAAAGCAACTCAAGTGCAAAAAAGTGAGGTCACAAACTGTCTCCTAGGACTTTTTTGAAGCGAAATCTAACAAGACGGACACGAGATGGTTGCTGCTGCTGATGATCGCTCAGAACAAGGGATGCATGAAGATGGGAGGTTTTGATCCGCAGACCCTGGATCAGGATTTGTGGGTGATGTGGGACAGGAGCAGGGAGGAGGGTGTTCCTTCCAGGTTTGGCAGGGGGATAGGCATGTGTCCGTTGATTAGGCTGGGGAACTGTGGAGGAAGAGAGAGAGGGAGGGAGTTAGCGAGGAGGGGACGAGGTTCTATGAAAGCTGCTTTCCGCAGAGGAACTGCAGCTTTGTCACTGCTCTGGTTTCCTGTTTTTTGTATTCATTGTGCCTCTTCCTGTTCGTCTCTGTCCCCCTCTACCTCCACAACAGAAGGAGAAGTCAACACTGTTTCTGCACAAAGAATCCGGTATGGTGTGTGTGCGGCTGCGGTGGGGGTGTGGTGAGTGTGTGTTTTTCACAAATGAGGAGCAGCTCTCAAACCAGTCCACCCTGTTCAGACTGGCTCCCCTGGGCTCAAACAGGAAGTATTCACAGGATTTCCTCTCTCTCTCACAAGCGCTGAAACAGGACACCTCTGCTGGACCTGCTTACTAACTCGAATAGCTTCGAGTGTCTCGCTCCTTCGCAGATCTCATAGACGTCTTGTTTTAAAGTTTAGTATATTCTTTGTGTTAAAGTGAAATTATGCAATTCATGCAGGTATTCAAAGACAGATCAATGTTAATGCCCATTATGGGTATAAGTATCCGTCATATTTTGTTTGACTGTACTCAGTTTGTTAAATATTTATATTTTGTAAATGTTGTCTTAATCTTTAATTTGCTACAATAGTCTTTAAACATTTTCTTTTTTAAAATAGCTTCTATAATAATTCAATTTTTTTGCTCCTTTCTTAAAAGAAAAAAAATAATTTTTTCTGTGTCTTAGCGTGCAACATTTACACCAAAGCAAATTCCTCGTATGTGTAAACCTACTTGGTAATAAAACCGATTCTGATTCTGAAGAAACAAAGGATTCGATAAAGTTTTAGTCAATAAAACCGGAGCCAAGTCCTGCCTGTAACAAATACTTAGGAATTCCTTTATATTACTCAGCTGATGTTAACAACTGCTGGGAAGAAAGGGGATTTTGCGGCAGAGCTCATTTCACCCGTGCTGCCTCTTAACGTCCTCCTCGGCTTTCAAACGATACCGGTAAACACTTAGGAACCCCACCCCCCCTTATGTGTCTCCACCTGTGTGTGTTTTACCTGGAAGAGGGAGCCGTGGCCCTGCAGCCGGGCGGGGCTGAGCGGTGCGACGGGGCTCAGACTGCTCCAGAAGTGGATGCCTGACAGCAGAGGACTGTGAGCCAGCAGCAGACCAGAGGGAGTCTGCAAGGGGGGGGGGGGGGGAACACAGAGGGAGGAGGGGAGGCTTTGTGTAAATACGAGAAACCAAGGGGAAGACAATATTTCTTTTTAAATAAAAACACAGAGACCCACTGCTTGGAGAGCATTGCTCTGAGGGCTTGGGTAATGCGAAACATGCCGAAACGGTAAATGGACGGGTATTGGCGTTTGGAAAAACAACTGACGGAGCAGGAAGGAAGTCTGTGGTTTCTCCCCAGAATACAGGGGTGACGTGGGGAGGGGGTGGGGGTTGTTGTTGATTGGGGGGAGGCTGGGGGTCCTCAAGCACTTCAAACTCCAAGCAGGGAGAAAACATATGAAATCAATTTCTCCCTCTCTCCCCTGGCCTGCTCTCCCCCCTCCCCCCCTACTTTCCCCTGTGTCACCTCAGAGAAGTGAGCCAGTGTTGTGGAGGGACCCAGCCCCGCTCCCATTATTAATGGAATTATTGGAGCATATGGCATCACTTAGGGCCTCTTCCCCCCTCTCATAGGTTGGACTTGCCGAAGATTCCTGTAAATTGCTTGTTTTCCTCTGATCTCCCTTTTTGCGCCCCCATAAACAGACAGTGAGAGTGTAGTAATAATGGCTTTCTCAAAGTGTGGATACACCTCTGATGTGGCAGAGTCATTTAGCTTTGTAACAACGCCAATGTAAGCACATTAAACAGATTATTAAATACCTTTTAGCGTTATGGCAAAGATAAAAAGGTCCCAGCTGGAATAATTTGGCTCTAAATGTGTGTCAGAACACACTTAATACAGTACCGTAAAAAGCATAATTCACCTTCAAGCAGTCTTATTGATCAACACTAGACAACAAAAAGAGAAATGTACCACAAATTGCTTGAAAAATTCCAGTTTGCTTGTGTACTATATTTTCTCTAACTTTAATTTTAGCGTTGACATACTTCCATAAGGCCTGTTATTTGCAGCACATAAACATTCTGGCAGTCATTTTGGCTTTTGCCCCACAAAACTGTTTATTGAAATGTTTTGAAGTTTAAATCCCAAACACAGACAGTGACGCATTACATTTGATTTAATTTGCATTTGTTCAAAACTGTTAAATTGACCTGAAAGTGCCTGTGCACATATCACCCTAAAATCCTGCCTTTTTTCATACCTTTTCTCTGCCTGTTTCTTAAGGATATTTGAGCTCAAGTGACTACTTAAATAAATATAGCAGTAGTCTTTCCACAGAAACATGCCAGGCTGTGTCAGATGTCACTGGCTGCTCTCTGAGCGCTTTGGGGGCACTGACATCATACTCTGGACGGATCCCATCCTCTCTGTGTGGCCGGCCAGCACACAGATAGCATCACAGGATTTATTCTCCTTCTTTCAATAGATTTGATTATTATTGGTGTCACTGTACTTCACCTGTAGCTGGCACAGAGTGAGACGATCTCTAATCCACCGTACATTATTGAGAGTGGAAATAAGAGCGCTTTAAAATGTGTACGGGAGAAATCACAAGGTGTGCAAACATGTCTAGACTAGATAGATATGAAGCTGGTTTTAGAGGAGTCTGAGGTGTTGAACCTGTAAACCTGTCATGCTTACATTATGTATCATATTTCATTGCTTGGGAACACCTTCTCCCCCAAAAGGGCTGACAAACATAACTTTAAGAGTCTGTAAACAATCAGACGTGTGTCAGAGAGAGGAGACCCTTTGATCACGGGCAGGAAACACACACAAAGTGCAGTCATGTGACCTGACCGTGCTCTCACAGTGATGGTTGGGCATCAGTCAGATAAATGGTCTCACCTGAGCAGTGAAGAAGGCGGGGGTGAGGGATCCGGATGGCAGGGCCGGGCTGTTCAGGGCGATGGAGCCGATGTCGCTCCCTGAGAACAGCAGAGACGGGGCGGAGATCTCCAGAGCTTTGGGCTTTTTGCTTTTTGGTGGGAGTCCATCTCCTTGGTAACTACTAGAGCTACTTCTACCGGCGCTGCTGCTGCTGCTCCTCTTCTCCGGGGGCTGCATGGCGCGCTCCCGGTGCCCGGAGGAGAGGTTGAGGGGCTGGGCGCTGTGGTCGGAGGGCTCCTCTTCCTCGAAGACGGCAGGGCTCCAGCTCCGGGATGTGTGGGTGTGGGGGGAGGACAGGGACCGGTGTTTGGATGGCGGGATGTAGGACTCTGACTTAATAGAGGGGGGAGAGCTCCTCTCGTTGGCATTGGTGCCGAAGCGGATGACGGAGCGCGGCTCCTCCTGGCGCTCCCGCAGCGCGCGCAGCAGCTCGGGCTGGTTCTGCAGCGAGCTGATGCTGAAGGAAGAGTAGAGGCCGGAGCGGAGGTAGTCGTTCCTACACTGCTGCGCCAGGGTTCTCCTCTGGGCCTCCTCCTCCCCTTCCTCCTCCTCCTCTTCCTCTACCTCCAGCTCTGAGGCCTCTCCCTCCTGCAGGGGAAACCTGCCAGAGGCCAGACCCATCTCCACCGCCTGAGGGTCCATGTTCAGGATCTCAGGGAAGGACACAAACTTATAGACAAACTTCTGGCCAATCACCTTCTTGATGATGTTCTGCAAAACACACAAATGCACAAATGATGAGGAAAATGTGTAGGTATAGCCAACTGAAACAAATAAAGAAAATAACAACATATCTTGATCATCACAGGGATGGTGATAGTGAAGACATACTGAGACAACTCTTTGTCAAGAGTGGTACATAACAACCAGATTTCTACTTTGTGTTTTCTGACAAAGAGGAAGTGGAAGTGTCTATCAGGGGAGATTGTGGTTTAAAGAGAACAACAACATTTTGTAGATGTACTTCAGGTCCTGTCGGTTTCAAAACCTGCAATGAAAAGATTAGTTGAACTACAACACAAACGCGACCCCTTCATATGACCCAAATGGCCTCACCTTGTCGTAGTAGTAGCGCAGGGCTCGGCTCAGCTTGTCGTAGTTCATGTTGGTCTTGTTCTTGCGCAGCCCCCACAGCTTGGCCACTTCCTCTGACTTCAGGAGCTTGAACTCTCCGTCAGTGGACGTCCAACATATCAGGTGCTTGTGACTTTGGTCCAGAAGCAGCTGCAGCAGGAACTGCCACAGAGTGATGGCGCTGTCCATACCTGCAGCAAGACATGACCAGCGTGAGTGAAAACATTGGACTGGAAACGAACATAAAACGCCTTCAATGTTTAAAAAAAAATTATAATAAGATGTCGTCCTCCTGTGGCCTATTCTCTGCAAGATAAAAAAGTAAAATTGCCACCCAGCGATGTGTCCTAGAAGAAAAGCACATAAACTTTCTACACTACCTGCCGGATGCTAAATGACAGAATAAGCACACAATTCAAACCCCTGAGGAAAACCAGCCTGTAAGCTGTTTGCACTCCACTGTGCTCATTATTTCTATTTTCTAGACTTAAACTAATTGCTTATTTATAATAAAACCTACCTTGTGTGTTTAGAGAAACTGTTAAGAACAAGAACTGATACTTTATCTTAATTTAAAATCCATTTTGGTGATTTCCGTCTTGCCAGTCTCCTTTTACGGCACAGACTAAATGAGGTTACTGGCTGAGAAGGAAACGGCCTGTAACATGTGGTGTAAGGACGAGTCCACCGGTGATGAATAGAACAGTGTGTTTTAAAGAGTGTAGTGTAATGTAGCAGCAGCAGCAGAAGAGAAGAAGAAGAAAAAAAGAGTATAAGGAGGAACAACAGCTCAAGCCAGAAATATGCTGCGGTTCAACCTGGCCCTCTCTCCACAGGAAGTATGACGGCCCAGGGTGGGTTATTCCTTTAATAGAGGAATGTGCAGCCTCGCAGCTCCTGTCTGCCTGCTACGAGCTCACGTCTTAATACTGTGAGTGTGTGTATGAGTGTGTGTATATGTGTGTAGGGGGGGCTGTTTCTGTCACCATGGATAGCAACACCAGATTAGCGCTGAAAGGATTAATCAATTAGTTCAATTGCAATTAATAGATTGGCAGTGTTTTCGGTAATTGATTAATAGTTAAGTCGTTTAAGCTAAAATGACATGCCGTTGTTTCCAGCTTCTCAAATGTGAGGTTTTTATGCTTTATCAGTACATTCAATGATTTTAAATTGAATATGTTCGAGATTTTGTCGGACAAAACCAGCTATTTGAAGACATCCCCTTGGAATCAGAGAAACTGTGATGCCCATTACTTTTTTTCTGACATTTTAGAGGCAGAGGAATGTTTAAGAGGATATTCGATGATGAACAATCTTTAGTTATAAGCTAACATCAGATAGACATGTGTGTGGATAGGGCTAAACTTTTAATACATTTTTGGTGAATGAGTCCATTGCAATTATTATTTAAAAAAAAAGGTTCCAAAAGTTGATCCTAAATCAGGTTCAAAGATGATTTATAGTCTCAATTTATTCTTTAATCTGATATTTACTGTAATAAATCAGAGTGTTGCTAACATTAGTGTCAATTTGATTGTCCTTTGGCTATTTGTTTGAGAAGTTTGACTTATTTTTGTTAAATAAAAATAATTCCTACTAAACAGCTCGATAGATAGTGATGGACCTGCCTGAGTCTCATCTTTGCCGTCTTATCGGTGGATGTGAGGAACAATTAGTGACTGATGCTTAAGAACAATGATAACACTCTTGCCTTTAAACTACATGTCTCTGTCCGGAGAGGAGAGAGAGCGAGAGGGCTGAACTCATTTCCGACACAATGCATCCCCTGAGTTTTCTATCTTCCACGTGAAACTACAAACCTGTCAGAGTCAGGACTTCCTCCCATTCTACTTCCAAGGACATATGTTGAGAGAGAGGGGATCCCACAGCAGGGGAGCATTTCCCCAGTCATGCCACACTTCCCACAAAAATCCCAAAAGGGAGAGGGTCACAAGATCAAGTCATTGTCATCTTTCCACAGATCCACCCTTTAAAAACCCAAACCAAAGTCTGGGTTCAGATCGGTTCAGACACTTTGAAGCAAAAGGAAAGCTGGCCACTGAGCTGACAGCTATACAATTAGGCCAGTGTGACTTATAAACATTCACCTTTGCAAGATGCCACAAATAGCACAGAGGGACTTTAAAGTATGGAGCAGCTCCTGTAGGGCAGACATACCTCCTACATAAATCAGATTTGATATGTAAAGTAAGGCAGTTGTAGGGGATTATACATATTGTATATTTGAATACAAGAGATATACAATCCCCTACAGCGAAGTAATTACAGATACAGCACAGCAGACATGTTATGACCACTTTCTAGGAACATTACAGGGACATTGTGGTGGTTTTGGTCCGGACTCAGGAGCTCTGTTGTGGATGCTCGGGTTGAGAAGTCTCGCTGTGTGCACAAAGCCATCCAGTGTTGGCTGAACGGAAACTGCTAATGAGATTAGATGGTGTGTGCAGACATTACTTAGCCATGACTAAATCTGCTCTCTTCCTGTTCGCACACGGTGGAAAATGCAACAGGGGCCCTTAAATAAGAGAAGCATCTCCAAACAGCCGCCGTGGACTAGATTTCGCATAGCTCCTCGTTTGTTTGCGTCTCTTTTCTGGGGAGGCGACAGTTGTATCCGGGACTTGAAAGTTGCCTTTACGCACACAGAGGTTTTGGATCACTATTGTGCCACACTGACTCATATTCAAGATGTGGCTCGGACCGGAAGACAATTGTGTCCGCATCTAGACAGACATGTACTATTCTTGCGTAAAAGTACAACAAAAAACACTCGATCCGAAGACAACTTTAAAGCGAATACAGTTCATGTTGGTAATACTTCCAATCATGCACTTCCCTCTCTATAAGCCATCAAAGCTCTGTTCATAGAAAGATTGTTTTTTACTTTACCTGCGATTTCTGCCTCGGTGTTTTCCTCTGCGAAACTTTACGGTGAAGCCTGAGTGATTCCTTGTTTTTCCATGCTTACTTCTGGTCTACACAGTTGTGCTGGACTGAAATAGGATCCCGTGCTTTTTCTTTTTCTGAGCAGGAAGTTGGAGCAGGCAGACACAGAGCCGGCTGACTTCCTCTCCCCGACGATTCCCCAGGCGTTTTTGCCGTCTGTGTAAACACACTTTTCCTCCCTCCTCTTCTCCTCTCCTGCCTGCTGACGGCCAGCAGAAAGGCCTACTCTGCGTCCGCCGCACACATGGGGCTGCAGAAACTCCTACAGCCCGTAAACTGACATCATCCGTCCGCAGTCTGGCGCGATGCGTTCAGGTGCGCCTCGTTAGTTCTGACACTTCCACTCACAGGCCAAGAGTCATGTGAGGTTTTATCGTGTTTCGTTTCAGCAGTGGTGGAAGACAAATCCAGATATTGTATGTCAGCAAAAGTAGAAATACTATGTTGCAATAGTACGGGAATAATTCAGATACTATACCTGTACTAACACCCATTGGTGGAAAAGTATCTAAGTACTTGTACATTATAAGTTTCAGTAAAAGTATTAAGTTACAGTATGAACTAAAGTACACAAATATTATTATTTGGTAGATTAAACCAGTCAACATTATATTAAAGTAACTAAACAGAAAGTTAACAGAAAAAAGGGTTTCTTTTCACAGATCCAAGCTTCTTATATGTGAAGATTTGCTGATTTTGCTTCGTCTTTTAAAATATATATTTTTAAATGTCTGCAATGAGTAATTTTACCCCTAATACTTCAAGTACATTTTCCTAATCATACTTAAATACTTTTACTTAAGTACAATTCTCCATGAAGTACTTTACTTAACATGTTTGTATTTTTACAGTGTGGTATTAGTACTTATACTCAAGTAAAGAATCTGAATACTTTTCCCTTCACTGCTAACACAACACTGAAAAGTCGTGTATTGACATGTTACTTAAGTAAAAGTAAGTCACTAAGTGAAATTCAAAAAATGTAGTAAAAGTACTTAAAGTAAAAGTAGTATAAAATATAATACAAATTGTAATAAAATGGTCATAAAAATGTCACAGTAGCCTATAACATATATAAGCAATACAGTCCTGCATTCAAATGTTCTATTCATGTTAAAAATTAGAGGAGGCATCATCAGCACAAGTATATTTCTTGGTAAGCTAAATTAAGTTAATGTTTTACTCTGAAGTAGAAGTAAAAAACAAATAAGCAGTTTAATTGTAGAGCTTTGGGAGCCTTCTGTAAGTTATGTTGGGCTGTAATGAGTTAGAATATTAACATAATTCAAAAACATTTTAATTGTTATCTAAGCATAATAGAAACAACTAAGTCATGGCAGGTGTAATTTTCAGGACCAAAGTTATTAGGCCCGTTCCAAACAGGAATGTTTGTTGCAATGCACTCGTTATAACAAATCCTAATTTTTTAAGAACCCTCCTTATTCATTGTAAGCAGAACTTCCTGAATGTTAAAGTAACTACAGTAAATCTGTCAAGTCATTGTGCAGAAGCAGTACGATTGGCACAAAATATGTAACGCTGTGTGGGTCGGAGCTTTGAGATGTACATTTGTTTTTGTGTTTATTTGATATTATGGAAAGTAGGAAGAGCAAAGTGGAAGGACATGCAACAAATGACATCAGCTGTCAATGAACTGTTGATGTTGCAGACACATGTTATCCACCTTTGACCACTTAGATTAAAAAAAGTTTTAGTAGCAATGCATCAGAACCCCATCATGTTTTATTTGGTAAATATCAGCCATTGAGAATTCCGGTCATTTTGGGTCATATTCATATTTTTTATTCATATATATTATTTACACTTCCTATAAGATTCACAGGCACTAAAATGTCAGACAGCAAGTTAAGGCACCAGCAGAAATGGGATACATGTTATTCGAATAATTTGTTATTGATATGTAATTTTGGAAATAAGATTTATCTAATTTTGGTTTCCAAAGCAAAGCCAGAATTGTCTCGGTTGTATCACTTTAGGACAATTCTGGCCTGACAACTAGAACAACAATACACAAAGTCAGCAGACTCTTCCCGTTTGTCTAATTCAAACACCTAAAAGCCTCCATATTTTCTGAGATTAAATCACGTGAACGCATTTCAGTCAGTATGTCCAAACATCAGTGTGACCGACCTGTGCAGGTCAGTGACCCCCAGAGGTGTGACACCGGCGAGGCGTGGCTCCCGAGCGGAACTTCTGATTGGCTGCTGGACTTTAGGTGCTGAAGGTGCTTCCCCGGGGAGAGGAGAGCAGCCCTCACTGCTGCAGACTCCCGCTGAAGTGCAATGCCTCGATTCACCGTACATATCCGAGATGAGTGGCTGGCAGTGCCCTGCAAGGACGCCACCAATACCATCCAGTGGCTCGGACAGGAAGCCCTTAAACGCTACATTAAGAACAAACCGGACAACGGCGGCATCAAGGATGTAAAGGACGCCCAGTTTGTGGTGCGCAGGTGCCAGGGTCTGGGCCTGCTGGACACCGATGACACTATTGAAGATGTGCTGGAGGATAATGACTTTGTGGAGCTCGGTATGACTTTATGCATGTAAAATGTTAGAACATTTATGAATTACATTTAAGGGACAGTTATGCCAGTTGTTGTGCGTAATTGTGCATGGCCAGTTTTTAAGAAAGAGACATTACATTTAATAATACTGTTGATAAAAGTAAAAATGTGATGTAAAATATTATCCTGTACTTGCAGCTGTCCAAGGAGACACCATGTCCACTGACTTTATCCCGTGTCAGCCCGGAGTATCCCACCTGTATCCTTCCACTAAACTGTTTGAGCCATATGTAAGCTCCCTGCTGTGATACTGTACTACACTTTGGTCAACCTGGGTTGCTTTAAAACGTTCTTTCTAAATTAACGTGACTGAAGTTGATATTATTAATAGTGGAAACTGTTGTATTTTTCATTAAGTTAAGGCTATTAAACAGTTTTCTAGGCTAAGTAATTTACGCTGTCGTACATAAAGTTGGAATAATTTTGTTTTTAGACACATTCTTATTTTTTATTCCTATTTACACAGACAATCATTTTATGAGAAGAGGTACAACATATTACATTACACCATTATGGGCAACAATGTATTTTATTAAATAACATAAAGTTCTTGAATTTCTGCAAGAAAAAAATAAACTATAGGGCAAACTTGTATTTGTTGAATGTTATCCTTGATCAAAAATGTGAAATAGCACTGCAGCATACAAAGAATCCGCGGAGGTAAGAGTTGATTTCACCATTTCTCTTGCTGTAGTAACATACTACTACTGATTGCTTCTGTGTAACACGGCTCTCTCTCCCTGTGCAGTTTCTTTCCCTAGATGGCAACAGCCTGACATCGACAGATCTGGTCAATTTAGGAAGAGGACTCTACAAGATAAAGGTAATGATCAACTAATTGTATTTCTTGTCATGACTGGTCAGTGTAATCTTTGACTTAACGTAATCATTCCCTATTTTCAGCTGACTCTGGAGGCCGAAAAAAAAGTGGTGCAATCCAGAGAGCTGTTGGATACCATTGTCAAAGAAAACAAAGGTTAAGAAACATTTAGGGATAAAGATCTGTAATGCATTGGTCCCACTGTTAACCAGCTACTTAAAAAATTGGCACATTTGATAAATCAATAATCCCATGTATTGAGTTCTCTGTATCTCTCTCTATGTTCCTCCAGTTGTCTATGGAATCACAACAGGTTTTGGCAAATTTGCCAGAACAGTCATTCCTGTCAGCAAGCTCAAGTAAAGACAACATTTCACATTTTCTTTGTCCCCATTAAATCTTCTGTTTGAGAGTGAGTTGGTTTTAATGTGCTGACGTGTGTTTGTTCCACAGGGAGCTGCAGGAGAACTTGGTGCGGTCACACTCAGCAGGTAATAAAGTTAAATTACTAGTCTAGAATTAAACATTTAAACATTTTCAGAGCTCCAGACAACATTTTTAGCTTTTGCTGCATTTAAATCAGCACCACCAATGACATGGTTTGCTTTTTGTAGGTGTTGGAAACCCTCTAAGCCCAGAGAGGACCCGCATGCTGCTCGCTCTGAGGATCAATGTTCTGGCCAAAGGGTACAGTGGAATATCTCCGGAAACGCTTCATCAAATGATCCAAGCCTTCAACGGTGAGCCTCATTTACCTCGTCTGACCGGTGATATCAGCTTCAGTTAACTGCTGATACCTTCATTAAGGGATCAGTATCAGGGAAGCTGGATGTTATATGCAGAGGTGGAAGAAATACTCTTGTACTCAAGTAAAAGTAGAAATACCAAAGTGTAGGAATACTCTGTTACAAGTAAAAGTCCTGTATTAAAAATGTTACCTAAGTAGAAGTACTAGTTTTGGCATCTAAATACACTTAAAGTACCAAAAGTAAAAGTACTCACTATGCAGATTGGCCCATTTCAGAATCATGTGTATTATATGTTTTCATTTTAATCATTGATGCGTTAATTTGTTTATCAAGCTTGTAAAGGTGGAACACATTTTAATTACTTTATTTACTGAAGGGTAGCATGTGAATTTAATCCAGGTGTAACTAAAGTTTTATTTAAGTGTTGATTGTATTTTTTGTATCATTTATCCATATCTGCAAAGTAACTAAAGGTACAAGGTAAATGTGGTGGAGAAAAAGTACAATATTTACCTCTCAATTGTGTTAGAGTAGAATTAAAAAGTACAAGTACCTCAGAATCGTTCTTAAGTACAGTACTTGAGTAAATGTACTTAGTTATTTTACGCCAATGGTCATATGACTAATCTTATCCCTCCCTCACTCACTCTGCAGCCTCCTGCCTCTCCTTCGTCCCAGAGAAGGGAACAGTGGGTGCGAGTGGAGACCTGGCTCCTCTTTCTCACCTGGCCCTGGGGCTGATGGGAGAGGGGAAAATGTGGTCTCCCAAGAGCGGATGGGCAGACGCCAAATATGTAAGATTTACCTCTAATACTGACTTCCATGGTTGTACAACAATAACTTGCCCAATGCTCCAGGAAATGTGCTTTGTGTTAGTTTCGAGTGACAGGTTGCAAGGTCCAATAGAATAACATGTTTGCTTTTGATGACCCTTGACATTTTACGTGTTATTTCTCCTTTCATCTCTGAGGTCCTAGAGGCCCATGGACTGAAGCCCATATCACTGAAACCTAAAGAGGTAATGTTTAAAACCAGCCGTGCTCTCTCATATTTGATTTGTTTGCACTCAACAGCCTGACCCAGGGTTCACTGGGGACATGTTTTGCCCTCTCTTCAGGGTACAAAGTGTATAAGATTAATATCAGTGTTTATATTTACAGTTATACGAGTGCTCAAAGCATTGCATTATTCTAGTGGCTTTTAAAGTGTAAAAATGTGCAACTCACTCCCAGTCTTTACCTCCCAGGGTCTTGCTCTGATTAATGGGACCCAGATGATCACGTCTCTGGGGGCGGAGGCTGTGGAGCGAGCCGAGGCCATCGCTCGGCAGGCCGACATCATCGCTGCTCTGACCCTGGAGGTGCTGAAGGGAACCACCAAGGCCTTTGACAGTGGTGAGCAGCATCAAAAAACTAGATGGAAACGCTTACTTGTAAACTTCAAAATGTGATATATGTTCAATCCCTCCTCAATTTGTGGTCTCATCCTGCAGACATTCATAAACTGCGGCCCCACCCCGGACAGATCGAGGTGGCCCTGCGCTTCCGCTCGCTGCTGGACTCTGATCATCATCCATCTGAGATTGCAGGTCAGAGGACAGGGACATATCCTAACACAGACAAATAACACAACATCATAAAATCATGCAGAATTATTTTTATATGCTGGGCAGCAATGTTGCCACATCAATAAATGTGTCGTAAATGCTTACAGAGCCACAATGAGTAGAGTTTGCATGTTAGTCTTCAATATCTCTGGGGTTTCCTCCAAACCAAAACACAAACATCTGTGAATAATATTTATACCCCTGCACTCGGTTGAGGTACTGCTTTCACTGTGGCTGCCCACAGCTCGTAAATACTTAGTCTGGTTTAAATGCAGAGGGAGTATCTTCCCAGAAGGATTAATAAAGTATTGCTTTTGGTAACATGATGGCTGCTTTGCATCCTTTGATATGTACAGTAGTTCTTAATGTGTGTGATTGGTATGTTTTTCCAGAGAGCCACCGGTTCTGTGACAGAGTGCAGGATGCCTACACCATGCGCTGCTGTCCTCAGGTAACCTCAAATAAAGTTTATTTATTCATCCCAAAATCACAAGTTCTTCCCTCAGGATTTAGCCGTTTTACGTCACACTTGTGGTGGATTGTGGTACATACCATGAGTGATGATGAGCAGAGAAATCAGATTACTGGAATTGAAATAAAACTGTGCTAAATATGATGTTTACTTTACTTACCTTACTTACACAGGTCCATGGAATCACCAATGACACAATCAATTTTGTCAAGAACATCATCAATACAGAAATCAACAGCGCCACTGACAACCCTGTATCCTTCCTCATCGTAAAAATGTAAAGACTGTTTCATAAATCTAGACGTGTCACTTAAAGGTGGGGTAGGTAAGTTTGAGAAACCGGCTCGAGATACACTTTTTGTTATATTACATGGAATGCTCTTAACATCCCGATAGCAATGAATATCTTAAGTGCTTTGACAAAAAATCCATAAAAAAATGTCATCTGTGAAAGCCGTAATACTGTAAAAAGCACGACCAATCATTTTAGCCGGCCCGGCTAAAATAACTGGATGGCCTACCTGCCTGTCAGCCTTCCATCTGTGCACAAACTTATCTCGTGCCCTCATTGGTCATGTGCACGTTCGTGTGTGTTGGAGGAGGGGCTCTGTAAGGAAGTGGCAGATTTTTTCCGGATGTGTATTTTCAAATTCTAGCGATCTCGAGCCGGTTTCTCCAAAATGACCTACCCCACCTTTAAGTCTCTGCAATTAACAATGTATATTGGTTCAACCAAACAGTTTTCGGCTTTTATGGCAAATCAGATGTGATTAATGTTTCTTAACGGCCATAAAAGATGGTGTTTTCCGAAAGAGGAGAGACCATTTCAGGTGGGAATTTCCATGGTGAATACCCGGCTAAAGTACGTAAGAAGTGATAAAATGATTTTTTTGTTATGTTTAGTAGTTTTGTTGTCCTACCTCTAATTGCCTTTTCACTTTATTTTTTTAGGCTCTGGACTTTTTAGCCATTGCAGTCCATGAGCTGGCTTCCATCAGTGAGCGCAGGATCGAGAGGTTGTGTAACCCGTCTCTGAGCGAGCTGCCGGCCTTCCTCGTCAACGAAGGAGGACTCAACTCCGGCTTCATGATCGCTCACTGCACCGCTGCTTCCCTGGGTAAGTGTGCACATTTCTAAAATAAAAGCGCATTAACACAAGTAAAGAAATTAGGTGACAATTATATTTTTGGTAAATAAAATAGATATTGTTGGGGGAGTCATTAAATAATATATATGTTGTTGTAAAGTTTGGCAGCATTTGATCATTATATTGATTTGTATTTATGTCCTTTTTTAACTGTCTAGTTTCAGAGAATAAGGTTTTGTGTCATCCATCGTCTGTGGACTCCTTGTCCACCAGCGCAGCCACAGAGGACCACGTGTCCATGGGGGGCTGGGCTGCCAGGAAGGCCCTGAGGGTCGTGGAGCATGTGGAGCAAGGTAACTCGTTTTTTTAAATCCAGGTACGATTGGATTATTGTTACTACTAATATTTAAGTAAACAACAGCATTCCAGTTTCTTAAAGTGAAAAAAAAACATATTTACTCCAATGCAAGGAATCCAGTGGCTGCTCTACATGAACATTTACGATCTATTTTATGTGCTATTCCTTTGCGATTAAAAAAGAAATGGACACATGTTGTTAAACTATTTAGTTAAAACATGCAATGGGCTTCACAATCTCACACATAGTTTAGTACATTTATGACATTTGTTTAGTATTAAAGTATTTTTAAAGCCCTATTTCTGATCTCATAATCTCATACCATACATACACTCTAATGCTTTCAGTGTGCAGCCTCACTGCAAACACAGGATTGTCACTTAACACGCTCATATAGAGACATCAGACAGCCAGATTAGATTGAATGGAGATTGAGTTTATAAGAAACAGGGTTGCATCACATGTTGTGTAACATTTCCATTTTTTGTGACAGAAATGATAACCACTACAAATAGGACTTATCTATATACTGTAGGATTGTTTTCAGAATAAAGTGTCCTGAAGAGAATCATCTTGACAAGTGAACAAGTAAGAGATATAATTAATATTGTTAAATATATGTTTTTTTTCTGTGCTCAGTTCTTGCTATAGAGCTGTTGGCAGCCTGTCAGGGTATCGAGTTCCTCCGCCCTCTCCGCACCACCACTCCGCTGGAGAAGGTCTATGAACTCGTGCGCAGTGTAGTCAAGTAAGTCAAACAGATGTGGCCAAGGTACACGACTCTCAGTCCACTGAAACAACGTACAGGATGGTTAATATTTATCCACTGTTCCACTTCGGACTCTCTCTTCTTCTCTTTCTATTCTGATATTAACAGACCGTGGATGAAAGACAGATTCATGTCTCCGGACATTGAAGCTGCTCACAGACTTCTACTTGACCAGAAGGCAAGTGACATTAAATGGTGTCCCAGGTATGGAAATGACAGATAGAATTGTAATTTTTTTATATTTTTATATTTTAAACCCAGGTGTGGAATGTGGCCAAACCTTATATCGACAAGTATAAGACCGAGGTCATCCCAGAGTCTCGCCCAGTCTCTCCGACCGCCTTCTCTCTGGATCCGCCGGCGTCACCGAGGAAGCGCTGTCGTCATGAGTGAAAACATGTCTGATCTTTGCTATTTTTAATAAAAAAAAATACCCTTTGCATTCCAAAGATTTATTTAAAGATGCAGCATTGTTTTGTCCCTTGTAGACTTAATTCATAAGTAGATTTCTGGCCTTTTTAGGGTTTTAATCCTTGGTGTATTAGTAATTTAAGAATTGGTGCTGTTCCTCTAGTAATTTTGGTGGGTTGAACACCTCTGTGCACTAGAGTTGTATTTATCTAGACTTTTGTTGTCCCTTTAAAATGTGCCTAATTTAGTTTTTACTGCCACATTACTACCTCAGCCATTGTAACCTTTTCACATAAAAAAGTCCTTAATGATGTAACACAAACAATACTACGATTAAACATTGTTGTTGTTTCTCTGGTATTATCATATGAAATCTAAAATGATTGTCATCTGTATATTTCCACTTAGACAGCAATACAACTTTTGAAAGCTGCATTCTTTAATTGTTTGTTTGATTGTGTAATTCATCTTTTCTGCTACACTGATACATTCACTTATTTCTGGTTTGTCCAACAGTATGTTGAGATCACTTTTAGAAGAAACAGTGGTGGAATTATTTAAGAAGTAGTTATAATAGAGTTACTGCTATATTTCTGCCATTAAGATGTTTGGTACCTCCCACCATTATATTAGTACATTTACTCAAATTCTAAGTGTGTCCAATCTTTTTAAATGTTTTTTTACTTCCTTGAGAATTTACATTTTCTGCTATTTTACACTTCTTTTCTACAACATTTAAGAGGGAAAATATGTGAATGTATTGTTGTCCAGTTGACTTAAAAACATTTATCTGACAGCTGGAATAATTAATGACTTTGCAAATTCAGATGTTATGTACAAAACGTTTTAAAAATAAAAAATGTCTTCAGTTACATTTTTAATGGAGGATTTTTTTAAAGGAGGATTTTTACTTGATACAGTATTTGTAACTTTTAACTAGCAAATTAAGAATTATGTAAAATAAATGTCTAAAATAACAGAAGAAAATGGACATTATAATTGACCAGTGCCCGATGTGTTGGATGTCAATCATACTCAAAGGTAGTCAGTTTACCATCATATATGCAATTGAAAATAATCCAATACCCACATTTAGGAATCAAAAACCAATAAATCTTTGATTTTTTCGTTTAAAAAATCACAAGAAATAATTGATCCATTGTTAAAATAGTTGCCTATTTTCTGCCAACTGCTTATTTGTGATGTGAAAGTAGAAAACAAAAATGTCAAAATTATGATTAGCAGCCAAATAAAGTGGTCCCCAGGTACGCAAACCATAACAAAATAAAGCAATGAATATCAATGTGTGGTGACAAGGTGTTTATCTGTTTATTCAAAGCACTCTGTTTCCCCGTAGCGATTTCATTATCTTTCAGTATCTTAATTACACACACAGTCAGCGTAAACAGAGAGGAAAGTGTTTGTGGGTTTGCATTCACTCTGCTTTTGTTCTCAGCTTTGTTCTCTACATTTAAAATAAGCTTCCTAGTCCAGTTCAACAGCACCTACCTGTCCGGGCTGAGAAAGAAGCCTCGCTGCCCCCTTCAGGTGCTGTGAGGAAACACCTGAGGAAGATAAAGAGGTGCATCAAAGACCTGCAGAAAGCAGCAATGGTCCACAAATTCAAAGGTTACACAAACAATTCATCACAGATAGTAGCACAAGGGGCAGAAGTCTGTTGTTCACAGAAATAGTTCAACCTTAGAATAAAGCCTTTGTCATTGTGTGCTTAGCCTCACTGGAAAAGTCCAGTTGCAATCTCAGCCTTTTCCAGACATTTAACCTGAACGTTTGGTGCTGCTGAATTTAGTTTACTGCAATATTTGACTGCATTTTACTAGTGTAAGTCAACTAAGAATTTATTTATCGGAGGAGGGCATTATTAATATGTCTGTGGTTGTTCAGAAACATGCATGCATTGATCAATCTAATCAATATACAGTACTACCAATATTAATAATATGATTATAGATTATTATTATTATTATTATTATTATTATTATAATTATATTATTTTAATCAAATGTTGCTTGCCTACATTACAGAATATGACAGCCGCATGCTCGAACTGCATTTTTTCCTATATTTTTCCTAATTCTGTATTTTATATTATCCATAATTAAAATGTTCTGTTAAATCATCACTTTACTTTTAATATAATAATAATAATAATACATGGTATTTGTATAGCGCTTTTCCTAATGCTCAAAGACGCTTACATATATAACTATAATATAGTTATAATAATGCAGTAAACTAAATGACTATAATATAGTCCGTACTATGTTATGGTGATAGTGTCATTAATTGTTTTCGTTTGTTGTGTACATTTTGTATTTCTGTGTCTATCAGTCCACAAACTACGAATAAAACGTTTTATGGGGAAAAAATGGGTCTCCTTCGAGCCGGATTTGAACCAGCGACCTAAGGATTTCAGCTGATTGCCTCTACAGTCCTCCGCTCTACCAACTGAGCTATCGAAGGGACGATGTTGAGGGGAAGCGTGGTACAAATTTTAAAGAGGACAAATTGTGAATTAATGTATCGGTGTTAATGTTCGTAGATCCTTTCAACAAAGCTAACCGCTAACTAAAGCATTCAAATAGACATAATAGCCACGCGCTAATGTAAACTAACACTACCGAACGTCCGCTAGCTAGTTAGTTAGCTAGCTAGCTAGCTAGCCAAAGTAACTTAGGTACTGCCGTTCATTTAGCTTTCAACAAAGATAGTCACTGCGTCGACTGAAACTCTTTGGAAGAAATACATTGGACGTAAGTAGCTAGCGTTGCAAGCAAACCCTCAAAAATAGCGGTAGTTTTAAAGAAAAATACTGATGGCCTAAAGTTAGTAGCTAACAGAGTTAAATGAACGCCCAAGCTAGCTACATGTTATTTACGTTAGTAGGTTACGTGTTCTTACGTTTCGTTTCTCACACAGTTTGCTGAGTTGCACGCCTTTGACCCATCCTATTTTTTAAACAAGTTAAAAAGACATGAAGCTAAACATTGGTACATGACTGGTGCACTTATAAATATGCAGTTTTAATCGTACCTTTGTTGCCCTGTAAACAGAAACACACAGGTAAGCGGTGCTTGCTAAAGATCCACCTCAGGAGTATGCCAACATTTGTACTAGTTCCATGTGTTTAGCCTTAAATTCACACTGGACTACTTGTTTTGCTCTGAAACAATTTATTAACAGGCCTTTTTGCTTACCTGTTAATGCAATACAAACAACAGAGCTTCAATACAGACAATTGTTTGGTATGAATTTAGCTCTTGTGCAACATTGCAACGATATGAATGGATGTATTTTTGTGTATTTGTGCAAATGTTCATTGTGTGCTGGTTTTTACAGTGTTTTTGTCATCCAGTTAACAATAAGAACATTTAAAATTAGGAGGTAGTCTTATTAAAAACTGAAGCCAGGCCAGTAGGCCCAATACCACAAGAGAACTAACTCCCCTTAACAGGTAATTGTCATTGATTATAAGCTTAGATTTCATGTTTAACAACATAATTTGGACGTTTTAGTGACTGTAATCAAACTAAATAACTATAATAAATCAGTCTGGATTGTTTTAAAAGCTGTAGTTACAGAGGTGTGTTCCTGGGGTCAGGCATCAGTTTGAAAAGTGGTAACCAGCAGCCACTCTTATCATCACTGCCATCATTTACAGTGCTATAAACAACAGGAAAAAGCAGACGTACTGTTTTTTAAAATGTTTTTGGAGGATTTTATCTGTGTATATCAGAAACACTGTGTTGTCTATGCATTACTGCTGCAAAGGGGATATTTTAGATGGTTAGCTCTGTAAAGGAAACGTGCATTAAACATTACAGTTACAAGAGTAGATTTCTAATTATAAATAGGAAGGATCTTCAACAAGCTTTGCTACTGCACTTCAAACCTACACAAACTAAATGATACTGTGCATGTCTTAAACTAATACTTTATGTTCATTAAACTCCTTTTGATAGACAGTAGTGGAAGATCTAAGAATTATATTTTAGTTGTGATTCTAGTTTTTTACAGTTTTGTGTATTTTTTTGGGTTGTACAATCAGAAAATGCAGGACAAAAGGCTTCTCTGAAGTGAAAGATTGATATTTGGCCATAAACAGATCAAACATACGAAAAAGACACATTGGACATTTCTGGAAAACAGGCTTATTTTTTGAAGGCAGCTCAGAAATGCTTTATTGAATATCTCAACCAGTGGTTGCGTTAGACTTTTTCGTTGTCTGTCATTTTGACGGACAGGATCGTAACATTTCCGTCATAATCCATTATTACCCGTCATTTTATTTTTCATGTTTTAATGATGAGACATATTTAATATTTATGTTTGGGTACTAAGCAGCAAATGTTCATTCATTCCTTTTTTTTATGATTCATACAGAACTTTTAAGGGCATGGAGAAAAAAAAAGATGAACAGAGACACCGACCGTGCGGTCACTTTTCATGTCGAAACGAATATGAATGATTTATTTTTTCCTTGCCACTTGCTTGTCCCTCTGCTGCTGGCTGAACGTTGTCAGTGTTAGTCTTACTGGCTTGTCCTTCATCCTCCACTGCATCAATCCCTCTTCTTTCACCTCGTTTATCCACACCATCACAATTACTGGGCTTATTAAAAAAGCTTCGGACACTCAGCTGCCGTGACATTTTGCGATTGCTAAAGCCGGTTAAACAACGAGGAAATCAACGAGGTCAAATACAAGACTAGACAATAGCTACTTAATATGCACACACTCGCCACCAACTGGACAGGGGTGTGAATTACTAAATAATAGTTAAAGTAGAGTACAGTAGATCGCCCTCAGTCGACCTGGCCATAAGGATGTAATATAATGTGGGCCGCTGGTGGACATTTTGGCGCTGTTCCGAGTTGTGTTCTAATCTGTCAAAATGACGGACTGCTTTCAGAGTTTTCCGTCATTCTTGGAAAAATTACGTCATAGACGGAAAATATTCGGTTAACGCGACCTCTGATCTCAACATACTATACACTCTTGACATGTCTGCCTGCAGGTAAATCAGTTTTATATTCCTGAATAATCAATGGTGACATTATAATTAGCGACATATTTATCATAGTTTAATGTCCGTGGGATGAGCATTGAGGAGCTTTATGATTTAATTTGTTTGAAAATCCAACAAGCTATATTTTCATGGATAATGACCAAGAGTCACCGCTCAATATCTAACCCTTCTTTCGCAATTTCTACCACTAGGCGGCAGTATTCCCCTATTTTCTTTCTTGAATCAACACGCTTATTATATGCTATTAGATATTTTTTTAATTGAGAAAATCAGCACATTTAGGGTTCAGGTTAAAGAAATGTATTTACTTTTAAAAATATAGTGTGTCCTTGACTTCAGTACCTTGTGAGGGGGTTTGAGTATCAGGACATTATGGTTTTACCTTGGATTGCAT